TCTTAACCGCTCAAATGGGGACATAGGTTGGTCTGACCGATTAGAAACTCGTGAAATATTGATTTTGACTAGTTTTTTTATCAAACTTATTTTTTGTTTTAAATCATACACACCAAGGCTTTGGTTGCATGGTCGGACTTATTCGACTGGGAGGTCTGGTCCGGTCTTGATTGCTTATATTATAAACTACAAATTAGAGTTATTGGAGAGATTGGGAATATTGTTAGAAAAAATTTTATCTTATAAATAAATTTTGATAGGATCTTTGGATAGCAACAATTATTTCTTGTAAATTGAAATGAAAATTATTATTTTTATCATGATAAGTTTTATGGCCAATCATCATCATTAAAGTATTTTTCTAACTATTTGGGGTCGGTTTTATAAATCTTGGTACGCTATTAAAGACGATACCCTCCCCATATATTTTCTTATTACTTTCATGTCCTTTTGGGTATACCCTTTGCTATTTTTAGCCTTTTACTTGCATCAATTCGTACCTTATAATAGGTGTTGTAGTGGGTTTGCACTACATATGCCCAGCCCATTTAAATCTACTTTCTCACATCTTATCGCCTATTAGAACCACTCCTAAATTCATTTCGAATTCTATTCTTTTTTGTTGTACCATTCATCCATCTCAACATTGTTGTATATAAAATCAATCGTGATAACCTAAAGCTTTTCTTTATTCTTACAATGAAAAAATTTCTCACCAATAACATATGAGTGATCTTTAAACAAAACTAGAAATTTGAATTTGAAAGGAAATGTGTCATTTTCCCCCAAAACGATAACATTTCTAAGGAAATAGGAAGCAATTTTCAAGAAATTGATAATGGATACATAGACTTTGTCATTCCTAAATGTATATGATGTGAAGTTATATTTACTTCTCAATAAATTATCATTGGATAGAAACTTCTAGCACTTCATGGCTCTCGGATTGGTCAAATGTGCCCATGTATAATTCGTGCCTCCAATCAACATAAATCAATTCTATGGGCCTCTTGAGACATGAAAGCTACTTGTGCGAGCAACTTTCCCTACATATTCTTCAAGAAAAGCATATTAATCGGGATTAATTGGAATGGCCAATTCAAATAGTAGGATCATTGGCTGATATTTTGGTTGGTTTAGTCTAAAGCAAAAATAGATAATAGTTAAAAACTAATCAAAATAAATGTCGGACCAATTTTGGCCGATCAAGTTCAACTGATTTAATCAACTAAATATAATTGAATATTTTTTAAATATATTTTGTATTTTTTAAATATTATTTTTATTTTTTTTATCTTTTTAAAATTTGGTCTAACCATCGAATTGGTTTGATTGGACCATTCCCCTCACTAATTTGGTGATCTATATAATCCTGATAATGCTAAAAAAAAAATCTAGCAAAATCAAGTAACGTTATATCTTATAAAACATTAACAAATGAGGGAATTTTATTTTCTCGTGGAAATAGTTTTCTAGGAAAAATATGGTTATTGAATATACCCTTTAGAGGGTGGCTATTTGAGCTCTAATTTCTCAGGCCTTGGGTTTTAAACCAATGCCCTTATATGGAACTGCCGACCGGGATTTGGTGGGTGGGTGATCCGGTTAACCCTCTCCCCTCCGGGATTTGGTAGGTGGGTGATCCGGTTAATCGAGATTGCTGATCGGATTAGTCCAATTTGGTATAGTGGGCAAGCAATCCAAACCCAATTTTGATTTGTAAACACTGTTTATGCATATGCAAAAGGTGAGAATAATCTTTTACAGAGAGAAACCGAGACTATAATTTCTCACTTTGATTGACCGAGAGAACATGGGGATTCCAAACTTTGGAAAAGGGTTAGGTATGAGAATGGTAGATGACGGATTCCAAACGTAGGTGAGTTCGGACTTGTAGCTTTAGCATTTAGGAGACTATGACAAAGAGACAGGTCCAAACTTAGGTGTTGGGACAATTTTTTTTTTATATTATTATTATTATTATTTTTTGTGTTTTTTTTTTATGTTTTTTGGTTTTTATCAATTCATCAAACAATCTCATCCACCATACACGGCTAACTTATATTTTAGTGTAACATAGTTATATTTTAAATAAGGGTGTGATTTGTATAAGGCTAACCAATCAAAGTAAGCCCACCTTCAAATAGTATCGAAAAATGTTTTAGTATTAGAAATATATGTGATTGTATAAAAACATATTTTCATCTTTGATAATAAAATTTAAAGATTAAAACATAGTGTAAATTGAGCAAATCTATGATCACTTGAAAATCTTAAAAATTGACCATCTAGGTAAAATATTTTTAAGACTTGAAATTTATTTTTTCTCATATCCATATATTTTGAGGTTGAGATGATCGAATTGTAGGTTTTTAACATCGAAACAACCTCTTTTTAATGTATGCCTTAATTTGATTGTTTAGGGCCTCCCCCTTATATAAATGCTTCCCTTTAAAAAACCACAAATCATAACCTTTCCCCTAATAAAAATTTCAAAGGCCAAATTTCCGAGCACTCATTAGCCAAAGGAAATGAAAATAATAAAACACAAATTTATCAAAAAAATTCAATCCCTTTTGTGAGGGTAATATAGAAAAAGGTAAGGTTTGTATAATGTGCTAATTTTATACCAGCAAGCTGTACTCGTAAATTTTGCCCGAAAATAGATGGAGTGTCCGAAACCTTATGATGACTTAAAAAGTCTCCGGACTATAAAATTTCAAAATTCAAAAACATATCTATAAATACTTAAATTTTTTTAAGAAGGAAAATTGTTTCATGACGGTAGGACCACGTTTCTACATATACGGTGTAGAAAATGTAAAGCATCCATCTTAAAGATGGATATCAAGTAGGTGTTCCATCTAAAAACAATAAAACTAACGGTTTAATTGTTTTTTTATTTGAAATAATAATTTTAGTTTTAAAAATTTATTTATTTTTTAATATTCATGATCAACATGTTGGAAATTACATGTCGTTATAAGTTAAGTCTTAAAATCCATTTCAAAAATAGATTTATTTAAGAGACCTGCATTTCTACATATGCGGGCTTGGCCGCATAGAAATCGGAATCCTTTTAAAAATACACTATTCACATAAACTTTATAAAATACATTAGTTTTAAGGCTCGGAATTTTTTTTTTTTTTATAAAATCTTCTCGTCGAGATTATTTTTGGATTTTTTAGAATTGTTTATTATTATTGTTTTTTACTGGATTTTTTAAGAATTTTTTATTATTTTTCTAGTAGAGGAACATAGATGAGGATTTTTTTGTCATTTTATTAAAGAAAAGGGTCAATTTGGTCGCTGTCTTTTCTCTCTTTTTAAATCATTTTCACTCTCTTCCCTGTCCATGTGCTCGTCTCTGCAACTCCAGAAATTTCCCCACATTTTTTTCACTTATTTTCATATAATTTCCCTGAATTTTCAGGGCTCAGAAAATTTTTTTTTCTTGTTATAAAACTCTAAATATCTTTGTAATTCTACCCAGAAACCCTAATTTCACTCCTTTTCTCATGCAGTCAAGCTCTGACATTGTGAATCTTTCAGTTTCTTGTTGCACCTAAGAAGCCCGAATTTCTAATGATACTGGTTGCAGAAGGTTTGTAAACTACTGTAGAACCCCAATCTCTCTGATTTTTTTTTTTTCTGGACCTTCTGGAACTTCATTGCTTCACTGTTTCTCATCCAAGGGGGTTTCATTTTTTTCCTGTTTTTGTTTGCGTAGAGCTTCTGTAATTGTGAAGATTAGGCGTATTTCATTTAAGAAAAACCTAGGTATTAGGCTCTGCTTTTTTAGCTTTCCATCTGTTGTTTTTCTTTTGGTAGTGCAGGACTCGTAAGTCTGTAAATGCCAATTTGTGGTGGATTCTCACGAATTTCTTTATTGCAACTATGATTTTTCAGTGATTAGTTATGAAATTGGATTTATACTATTTTGAACCTTTGATTAGATGAAAAATATTCTCTGATATTATTGGAAGCATCCATTTTCTCTTCTGCAACTACAGACCTCCATTGCTTGAATCTAAGAAACATTTGCGTTCTTCTTGAATTTCACTTTCTTGTTAGTTCATGAGTTTTTAATCATATATTCTTTCTTTCTTCTTTCAATTTTTTTGAAGCTTCAAATCGATCTTGTATTTGTATAAGTTCTCTTCTCCACCGTCCATATTAGTTACTTGATTTTTTCCAATATTTGGTTTCTTCAAATATTCACTGTTTTATCTAATGAAACCAATTTTTTCTTGGCATGGTCCCATTGTAAATGCTAGTCGTTGATAGTTTTATCAAGGATCTCAAAAGATCATCCTAAAACTCGGTCTTATCACTTAGGTCTTATCACTTAAATTGTATAGCTATTGTACATCATAATCTGCATGATTGTAATTGCCACTATTTCGGTATTTCCTGTCAAGAAACCTCTGTTTTTCCTGCAAGAAGCCCTTTTGGAAGTCTCCCCCCTTTTTTTTTGGGGAAAATTGCATATATACTTCCTCAAATAAATATCTCCAGCAATTGCACTGATGATCGTCTGTCATCTCCATATGGTTCCTTGTTTACCAATAGGAATCTCTTCTGCAACGGCAACTGCCTTGCTTGTGCGAAATCTCCCCTATCCAACAAAACTCATATCTCCAAAAACACCTCTTGCCTAGAAAACCCACATCTCCAAGCCCAAAAACTCCACTTTCCAACATAGCCCACCATGCATTTCCTCTAAAACCCTTTCTCTTTCATGTCGCTAGCGTGCGGCATCCCCCTTCTTGAGTGCGTCTACTGCCTTGCTTGTGCGAGGTGGGCTTGGAAACGCTGCCTCCATACTGCTGGTCATGACAGTGAACACTGGGGTCTTGCCACGCCCGAAGAATTCGAGCCCATTCCTCGCCTTTGTCGTCTCATTCTCGCAGTCTATGAAGATGACCTTCGAGACCCACAATTCGCACCCCCTGGTGGCTACTCTATCGATCCTGACCAAGTCCTTCAACGCAAGACCTATGATGACACTCAGGGTCGAGCCCCACCTTATATAATTTACCTTGACCATGAGAATCATGACATTGTGTTAGCTATAAGGGGCCTAAATATGGCCAAGGAGAGTGATTATGCAGTTTTGTTGGATAATAAGCTTGGAAAGAGGAAATTTGATGGTGGGTACGTACACAATGGTCTTTTGAAAGCGGCAGGGTGTGTGTTGGACGCAGAGTGTGATACTTTGAAGAAGCTCACTGAGAAATATATGGATTATACACTAACTTTTACGGGGCATTCATTGGGGTCAGGGGTTGCCGCTATGTTGGCTATGGTTGTGGTGCAAAACAGGGATAGGTTGGGGCATGTGGAGAGGAAGAGGGTCAGATGTTATGCAATTGCACCTGCAAGGTGTATGTCACTAAATTTGGCTGTGAGATATGCGGACGTGATCAATTCAGTCGTGCTTCAGGTAATTTTCACATATCTTTCTTTTCTTCTATTTGTTGGAAAATGATAAAGTAAAACATAAAATGAAAAAAGACAAGTTCTTTCTTATAGTTTGTTGGGTTTTTAGATTGTTCCCAGACTCATGTTGGTGGGTTTTCGCGTATCTACTCAAATTTCGTTTTTAGCTGTTTTCTTCATGATCCCAAGTTTTTCTTTTTGTTCAAGTTCTATTCTTTGCATTGATGATTGCTAAGAACTTGACTTGTTAAAATTGGATTTATGTTGTATTTTAAATGGTGTTATGGTTTGTTAATAGTAAATGTAGTTATGATTGGTTAATATGACTTTTTGTGACACATAACCAATATGTTAGCTGGACATTAGTGGAGACATACACGAGACATGTAGATTAATTCAATAACCATATGCCATCAGTGGATGAGTGCATCAGTTGTAACCATCGCCAACAAGCCTTGATTGTTTTTAACAAATTATAGAAGTTTGTCACACGCCTTTGGTTTCTTTGGTGGAGCACTTAACTCTGTAAATATGCTCAAGAGTGCTTCTGTCTGCAGAATACTTTTTTGTTGAAGTCGTTCACTTTGTATTAGTATAAAAGGAGAGTACAAGAAATGAGACAGCCACTTAAGTGGTTTTGCTATACAAAAATTCTTTAGGGCCCAAAAATGCTAAGCTGTCCACCGTATACTTTTAATTCACCATCATGATATCTGTTGTGCTTGGTTTTAATATCTGTTGGATGCAGAAAAATAAATGAATACAGGTGGCACATTTAGCTATTGCCACACACTTTAGCAACCCTAAGGGTTCGCTTGCATGCCACCTTAAACAGTGGTTTATTGCTATTGGATCAGCATTTTTGGTGATAGACCATTTGTTGTTGAGTGGTCCCTTTGGGTATATATAATAGAGAGAAACGAAACTATGATACCAGCTTCATCCCACTTGTAGAACATCGCATTTAGTCAGTACCTAAAAAAATATGTTGAAAATGGAAAGCACTTGTGGTTGTGTGCTGTCACACTAGTTGGCATGGACTGGGTGTGTGAAAATATGAGTTGTTCTGCTCAGATCGATCCCAGGATGCACGTAGACCAAGGAATGCTTGACAAGGAAGGGCAAGAATGTTTGCATTCTCTCCATTTTCCCCAATTTACATGTAAGAGCTTGAAATAGTGAAAAGGTTCGTAATCTGAAGCTGGATGAGTGTACTAAACGTAACTTTAGGACTTCATATTGGTTGAATTATTATCACTTTGAATCTCGAATTTGCAATGAATTCTTCTGACTTGGTTTTTACTGCAAAAGAAACGAACTTGAACTGGAGTTACAAACTGGCCATTATTTAAGGAGCTATATATGATGATTAGGAATGTTTTTGGGGAATGTTTTAGGTTTTAAATGGTTGGTGTCTGCCCGCGCACTTGCATGGGGGTGTCTATCCCCCCCCCCCCCCTCCACCCCCCACCACGCTTGCTCCACCTTTCTAACTGGATGGTTGTTCTTCGTATTGTTATGGGATGGATATCCTTCTACGATGGCAAGCCTTTATTTTGAGAAGCCAGTTCTAATTATAAAGCAGTTAGTTAATTTACTACTGGGAAATTTATCAGAACACCTGTGAGAGATGAACTATTTTAAAATTTACTCATATAGTTTGATTTAGTTTCGAAGTACCCATCAAAAGACACATGATCATGAGTGAATAGCTGCAAATGTGTAAAATGTTTCATAGTGCATCTCTAACTGGTATTTTGATAAATTTCCCTGTACTAAATGCTATGGTCAGCGATGAGGTGGTCAAGGACAGCACCTTCACGCTGTCCAATGAAGTTACATCTTGTTCTGTGAAGGAACAAAAGGGTGAGGAGTCAGATTTAGTACATCTGAAGTTAGGTCGCTAGTAACTTCTTTAAGGATTTCAGTCCCTCATTTAGGTAGTTGTGAAGTCATCCTCATGTTGGAGGCTCTGGAAACAACCAGTCTCATAAACCATTATTTTCTTGGAAATACTATAAAGCCCATTGGAACTGAGTCTCTCCTGATGGATTTGTTCGTTTTTTCCCTCTGTATGCTAATTGAAATTAACAAACACATGCAAATGTGGCAGCTTAGAGTGGAAGTTTCCTTCACTCAAGTGTTATTTCCTCCTGGCTGGTTTTTGCTCACATTCATTTATTTGTTTGAAATGCACGTATATCTGCGTCATTTCTTCCACTGTAACGCCACACGTGTCATACATTGTTTAAAAAATGGGTGATCCGATCTGGAACCGGGCGATCCAGATCGGGTATCGGCAAAGCCGTCTCGGATCTGCTGAAAAAAGGGGATTCGACCGGTTCTACACGGTTATCTGACAGAACTGGTTAGTGAACTGGTTCTGACAGCATCAACTTTTTTGAAAAGGTGGGCGACAACTTTTAAAATGCCCCACCAACCAAATTTACGATTTTGAAATTTTTTGAAAATATGAGAAAAGGCTACCACATCACGTGCAGGGCCAACGTCCCATGCACATGTGCAATGCTGTGGTACGGAGAGCCTTAAACACTTAAAAAGAAACTGTCTTCTTTAACTGTACTATGTAGGATATAACACTTTTGTTGACTACATGTTGCAGTGCAAATTGATAGTTAAAAGGTTAAAATAAGTCATTTCATCTCGTGAATGTTTTTGAGGACCTATTGCAGAAGAGATTTGATTGGCCTCAAATATAAGATAATAATTTGGTTGGCCTTCCTTGTATTTGGGTTACTTGTTTGGCTTGTTCATGTGCTACGATAGTGAGAATTAAATGAATGCTAAAAAAAATGGCAAGAATTAAAATGTGTGGTTTGACATTAGAAAACTTAAAATGTGATGGGTATTTTGACATTGGGAAAATTAAAATATGATTAGCAGTTTTGATATTAGGAAAATTAAAATCTGAGACAACTATCATTGAATTAAAATTAACTTTAGGAAAATAGTAGTTTTTTTTTATATTAGCCTAATATTATTAGGAAAATAGTAGTATTATATTCAATTCTATATCATGAATTTATAATTATCATGGGAAAAAATTGTATTTTTCAATTTTATTGTCAAATGTTTTTAATGCAATAAAATTTACGCCTTTGATACATAAATAAAATGTACATCCAAACGGAAAAATGCTTTAATTAGTATTCACCTATTTTTACAAAGTAAAGAAAGTACATAATGCATTACTCCTAATTTCTTTTAGAAAATAAAATAACACTATTTTTAGAGATTTATAGTGATTTTTTGAAAAACTTTTGGGACAAAAATTGCCGATTTGGCTGATTCTCTGATCCGATCCACTAATCTGACACTGGTATGGGTGAGACTGATTCGAGTCACCGACCTGTTTTTTTAAACATTGGTGTCATATAACTATTCTTATTTTTACTGTATTACCCAATACGGGTCTGCAAGGTGCGTGTTGGATTTTGGTCTTAAAAGGCCCTCACTTGAACACAATAATTCAATGTTAAGATGGATTTTTTGCTCAGTAATTTTAAATTTGATCTATACTCACCTAAAAGAGGATAATTTGTTAGAAAATTTCCCCTACTTCGCAGCCTCATTTATGACTAGTTAGTACTAAGAAAAGTTTGGTGTTTTGGCACATGCATTTGAAACTTAAGTATTTGATTCCTTTCCAAATTGCCATTTTATTTATCACGAAATTTTTTTGTATAGATATTCAATCTTTCCAATTGACGTATCATCAAAATTAGCATCCTTTAGGAAAATAAATGTGCCACAAAAATAAGTGGAGATGGTGTGCGTGTTAGCATCTTTTTTTTTTTTCCTGAAAATAATGTCATGGCCATCTTGATGAATTGATTTTTTTTATCAGCCTCTGCGAATTGCTGAGGGCTTTCTTTTGAAGAGTGTCTTGTATTATGCGGAGAAAATTATTTTCTTTTGTAAAATCAATCATTTTAAACATATAATAGCATATTTGATGAATGTTTGCTTGTGTTGTCCATGCCTGGCATTGATTAACTTTTAGTTGAAGATAAATATAGCCTAATTTCTAATTGTTAAATCTCTGAGCTGGCATATTTTTATCACTCTATTGGTGCACAAACACACATGCCAATGCTTGCCCTTTAGTTGTGTAAGTAGTAAATCTTCCAGTACAAATTGTTCATCATTTTGTTTATATATCTCGTCTGTTTCCTCTGCCCCTCTCTCTCTCTCTCACACACACACACACTTGTAAGTGATTGACTGTTATATTGATCCAGGATGATTTCTTACCACGGACAGCTACTCCTTTGGAAGACATATTCAAGTCCCTTTTCTGGTAAATATTCATCTTACCATCTGTTTAAATTGGAATTTCATTAGTGCTATACGATGATTGGTAAAATAGGACATGGCTGGTGTATCATGCTTTTTCAAAGTGACCAAAATGACCAAGATTTATTTTGAATTGCACACACTTTGTGAAACAGTATGTTGATCCATCTATACAGTATGGAGGAATGGAGGATCTCATGAACCTTACGGATACTCAAAAAACGCTCATGTTTTTTGTTTGCTTGTTAAGCATGCACACAATGCCAAGGCTTCCATGGAGGTCACCAAACCTGGTATTGTTCTTGCACAAAGATGCTTAACTTAAGATTTCTGACAGGGATTTGTGCACTAAATGCTTATTTAAAGTGTGCAGTCCTAGAGATATGTATGGCATTTCTGTGAGTTTGCAAAGATTGAGAACTTCACTTCATACAGGACCTAGTATAGATTGTGACCTGTATGAGATCTGTTCTTTTTTGAATCCCTATAATTGCAGTTTCTTGGGAACCCTAGGGATTCGTGATATGATGATATTTAAAGTTGTGATGACCTTTTTTCATGGTATTTATGTAGAAACCTAAACTATGTGTTCTCAAAAAACATATCCATTCCTCAAAAAAAGGGAGTTTTGAAATCTTCCTGGCTTCTGATCTCTTGAGGTCATCAGAGTTACTTTGGACATTATTTTGTGTCAAGGATGTTTATGTACTTCAAGGCATGACACTTTGCATGACTTATGGGGGTTTCTATAGTTCAATTATTTTTTGGGAAATTTGTTACAAGGAGGTCACAATTGCTACTAGCCATTAGATGGCAAATTGGATGGCCTGGAGTGTGTACAAAGTTTGAGAAATTTTTATTTTTTGAACTTTTGAGTTTAGTCAATGTCACACCCGCAACCACCTGATTTGAAATTTGACGGACAAGAGTGATTGTGATGTCCTTGTACAAAAAGTAAATGGTCTCGTATACTTTTCCAATTGTTAAGTAGTTTAACTTTGATAGGTATTTTGATGAATTTCCTTTGATAGTTTATTACAGCTTTTTAGAGATTATCGTAATTTGTAGAATTTGATTTGATATTTTTTTGTGTAGTTTGCCATGCATTCTATGCCTCAGATGCATGAGAGACACTTGTATACCTGAGGCGATGATGCTCAAGGATCCAAGGCGGCTCTATGCACCAGGTCGTCTGTACCACATTGTCGAGAGAAAGCCTTTCAGGTAATAATTTTCTTTTAGTTTTGCAAAAGTTGGGTACCTTGTCCTTTCATTGTAGCTTTGGTTTGCTTTTGGTTGTTGTCCATTTAAGTGATATTAAGTAGTCTTGGCTGCCCAAGCATTATCAGATCAGTGTACAATTATCATTTCTGAATGATGAAGGAATCGTGCCGAACAATTGGGGTTCCCATAGAATTTTAGAGATACAAATTTGTGCATATACGAACTCCCTTAATTCCCTACCTAGAGGAACAGGGGTACTCGTCAAACTTAAGATATTGATTCTTGGCATTTTACCTCTGAAGTGGGTTTTAACTCCCTCTTTAGAATGACTTCAACTATGTCCTTGTCAATTTTCGTCTTGTTTTTATGAATCAATAGCTCTCTCTCTCTCTCTCAACTATGTCCTTGTCAATTTTCGTCTTGTTTTTATGAATCAATAGCTCTCTCTCTCTCTCAGCCCATTATATTATATTTTAGTTGGCTGCAGATGTGGAAGATTTCCTCCAGTGGTGAGAACAGCAGTTCCAGTGGATGGAAGGTTTGAGCACATCGTGCTTTCATGCAATGCCACATCTGACCATGCAATCATTTGGATTGAAAGGGAGGCGCAACGGGCCCTTGATGTAAGTCCATCTTCCATGTATGCATGCCCTCTTTCATTTCTTAGTTCAGGTTGTATTTGCTGGAAAATTATATTATTAGTGATGGTTGTTGTGCATTGATCTACAGTGACTTGTGAACAGTCCTTGCTTTCTATATGCAGCAAATTATATTGAACTCTCTCTGCATGAATTTGATCTCGAGACTCAGTGAGAATAACCATCCCTGTTTTGCTTGCATAGTTGATGTTAGAAGATGAACAGATCATGGAGATCCCTCCAAAACAACGGATGCATAGGCAGGAGACATTGCAGAGGGAGCATGGGGAGGAGTACAAGGCCGCCCTAAGGCGTGCCGTCATTTTGGAGGTGCCCCATGCCTACCCTCCATCCTCTCCTTATGGCACCTTTGATGAAGAGAGAAGGGCTGAGACCTCCTCCCTCAGCTCTGGGCAAAGGGAAACATGGGATCAGCTCATTGAGCGCCTGTTCGAGAAGGACGAATCTGGACACATGGTGCTCAAGCGATCACAGACCATCCCACATTGAGCAGCTCTCTCTCATTGTAATGAAAAATAGCTGATTTTCCTGGTTTGGGCAGGGTGCTCATGTCATTATCACTTTTTCCCTTTGTAATTTCATGTAACTTTCATCGTTTGGACAGCCATGTGTTTTAAAATTGATTCATCCCAAGTTCAACGAAGAAACAGCATATATTCATTGTTTAGATTTTGTATTGAAAATTATGCAGCTAAGAAGGAAAAAGAAATGGGATTGTATATAATGAGAATTACTTACAATGATCTAGTATGAAATCTGATAGCTTGGGTCTGTTGTAAAGTTCGAGAAGATTTTTTTTGAACTTTGAGTTTGGTTAATGAAATATATGCAGTCACTCAATTTCACATCCAATGGTTAAGATTAATTGTGCTTATCTTGTACCAAAAGCAAATGATTTTTTATATATTTTTTCCAAAAAGGGGCATAACATATACTAATATGGAAAATATTCTATACAATGAAAAAAGGTTTAGTAAGGGAAGAGGTTGTAGACTATCATCGGAAACCATGAATTATGAAAAGTGTGGGTCTATTAATAAATATATTTTCGAGATGGATTTTTGGATTTAATTTTGAGGGATATGTAATCTCTAGCATGGAGATCATGAATATGAAAACATAAGTAAATTTTAAAAATTAGAAAAAATATGAAAAAATAAGGAAATTTTAAAAACTAAAAATAATAACTCCATGGATTGATAGTTTTTATTGTTTTTAGATGGAACATCTACGTGCATCCATCTTTAAGATGGATGCTTAACACTTTTTGGAACGCATATAGTCATGCGGTTCAGTCTGCATGAAACAAATTTTCCCAACAGTTAGTCTTCTATTTAGGGGGATTTGTTTGACTTCAAACCATCAAATCAATTTTCCTTACAGCTTTTTATTTGGTTTTTTGGACAATTGAGCGGAAAGACAACCCTTACTTTTTTTTCAAATAGATTAAGAGTTAGCTTTTTGAAAATACCAATAGATAGTGTTAGAGGTATGAGAAACCACAACGTTGTAACTAGAGAGAGGGTGCTATGACCACGAACCAACCCTTTTTAAAAAGTCCAGAATGTGCTCCATATGGATTCCCACTCCAAAAATATACCGGGCCTTAGGAACTCAAAGCAAACGTTTTTTATTCCGTTAAATCGATCATAAGGTAAATAAAAAAAGGGTAAATAACCTATTTCACTCCTCACCTCAAGATCTTCTCTCTCCTCTTCCTCTCTCCCTAAGATCTTCTCTCTCATCAAGGGCAAGGTATATCACCCGTGGCTATACTCTCAAGGCCTATTCAACTTGAAGGGCCTTTCTCTCTCTCTCTCTCTCTCTCTCTCTCTCTCTCTAACAATTTGTATGAAGCTTGCATCTCTCTCTGGACAGAAGTACGGTTGGAGTAGATAATCAAGATACCTGTTGAAAGCCACAACCAAATTTGCAGATATATGTATTGACTATTACCAAAGAATTACGCTATATGATTTGGCATACACATTGTGCCCTACATTGAGGTTATATACAAAAGATAGTGCTCAGGATCACACTATACATCATATGTGAAAACCATTGGTAGAAAAACAGGGCGATCTAACCACTCGGTTAGATTGGAACTGATCAGTATTTTTTAAAAAAAAATTAAAAAATATATATAAGTTCCCAAAAATAAATACTTTGGTTTGAAATACATTTTTTAATATTTTTACATTATGGTAAAGAATAAAAAAAAAATTTTCATTACTACTCATTTTAATTTAAAAATCTATTCGTTAAAATCTATTTTTCTTCATTATTTTTCAACTTCATTTGAATATGTTTTGTTTTAATATTTTTTATATGCTTTCCATATTTTAGTTTTTATTTATTTTTGTATCTTTTTTAGCTTTTTTACCTGTCGAGACTTATCTAATTAGAATGGTTGAATTTATCAATTTACTGATTAGACCGATTAAACTGCTTTCGGGTCTATGTTCGTCCATATTCGATAACCATTCCGGTTCGATTTTACACCGGTGAAAACAAAAAGACCAAAAACTCTATAAGGCCAAAGCTGGGGAACCAAGCTCAAACAATTGTTGGATTGGGTCCCACTGGTGAGTTGTGTAGCCATTAACATCTCGCCACGTATGTGGAAAGGAGATGGCTTATAGAGGGAAGAAACATGCTCAAAGATGGGCTCAACGTGCCGTGCCGTTCCAAGGGAAGGTGCAGGCACCTGAGGTTATATGGTAACATATTTTTTTTTACTCACATTTATCAAAACAAAAAAGGAGAAACAAACAATAAATTCAAAGAGGCACCTTTTTTTTGTTTTTCTCATCATATGCAATTGCCTCTCTATGCACATGATGAAAGTTTCGTTTACTGTAGAAGCAGATGTAATAGGTTTTGCATGGTGGAATTAGCATCGATATCGAGAGTGGGATTGGATCATCGTGTAAAGGTCTAGATTTTCATTCTCATCTAATATTTTCAAAAACCCCTAACAATTTAAAAAACAGGTAGAGAACTGAATCACTGGTATCCGTACTCAACTACCCCTTCAACCCCAAAGAAAAAGCACTATTATAACTTGAGTAACCCCAAAGAAAAGGCACTATTATGAGTCGAGTACGGGAGGGGCTTTGCGATTGTGGCCTTGAATAAGCCTCCATACCCGTTGGGCGGGATCGTGCAACTATCAAAGTTAAGCTTTATTTACTCGGTTCCAAAATCTCCAAAAAGAGATTTAGGACACGGGCAAGCCTACCTACCGATATGTTTTGTCAACTGCTAAGGAAGTTAGTAGTTGAGATATCGTTAATGTTTTTGTGATCTTGGGTACAAGGGATCAGCATGGCTTTGATGCGGTCGAGTTGGTTGCTGGAATTGGCCTCCCTTCCGAGACAAAAATGCTTGCTGCAGGGAAGGGAGGCAAATAGAAGGCTGTGAAAAGTTGAAGAATCGACTTTGGGGTAAACCATCGCCACCAAAAACTTTGTCGTAACTCAATCCTAAGCTGCATGACCACCTCGCACTGTGGAAACCAGTGTTCGCAAACCTGGCTGGTCCAACTTGGAAACGGGTGGTCAAACCGAAACCAGGCACTCGCTGATCTGGTTTGGCATTCGGTTGGGTATTTTAATTTTTTTTTTTTAAATCCTAAAAGGTAAGGTAGTTGTTTATAATGTGTTTTTTAATTTTTTTATCATTTTAGCAAAGATAGTAAAGTATTGAGTATGGATCCAAAAACTTTAGTTAAAATACAAAAATGATTAGCTTATAAGCAGAAATTACAAAGGTCTATCAACTGGCCTTTTTTTATTTTTTTCAAAATTACACTTCGGTCAACCAAAATTTTAACTTTTCCATATTTTTAACTAAATAATAAATAAATAAATAACCTAAATTTTAACTAAAAAAATTAAAATTCGGGTTGACCAATGAGCAATTTCGAAAAAAAATAAAGAAGGACCAGCTGATAACCTTCTTTGTAATTTTCGCATATAAATGGAGTATTTCGTATTTTACATAAAATTTTAAAGTCCATACATAAATCACTAAAAGTATTTTCACCATGAATACTTATTTTCATATTTTTCCGATTTAAAAAAAAATTAAAAATATCTTTAGGCACAAATAGATTTTTTAAAATTTATTTTTAACTAATTTTCAACTTCATTTGGATGTGATGTGTTTAATCCTGCATTAAATATACTTTTCATATTTTTTTTTAGATTTTTATTGTATTTTTTAGCACTTTTAGACTGGCTGGGACTGGTTAGGCCAGTTTACCAATTACTCAGAACAAGCTATTGGTTGGTTTCTGAGACGAGTTCAATTTCTCAAACACTGGTAGAAATAGATGGGCATTGCTATTTTTGGCTGGTTTGCACATGAGGCACATGTTAGGAATTATGCGGTTTGTCCACCGGGAGAGTAGGAGGGTGGTTGGTTGCAAAATATTGGAAAAAGAGGAAATTGAGAAGAAGCCAGAAGTTGATGGGGACCAATTATGCGCTTCGGACCCGAACCGGGGGATAGTAGTTGTTTAGAAGTGCTGTCCGTGAAGCTATGTCACTTGGTTCATGGTATCGAAATGGTCCTAAAAAGTAAAAAGAAATAAAATATTATTTTTTTTAAAAAAAAAGTAGAAGTGAGACAAAACCAAAGCCAGTAAAAAGTTCAAAAAATCTAAAAACTATAAAACATGGATTTAAAAGAAATTAATTTATAACTGGAGATATTTCAGAATTTTTTTAAAAAAAAATTAATATGACAAGAAAAAGTCACAAGTCATTAAAAAAGAAAAACTAAATTACATGAATAACTTTTTATTTATCGATTCCAGATTTTTATATAATATTTATGATTTTTTTTAAGGACAGTATTTGCAGTAGAGTGCTTGGCAAGGAGCTGAGTTGAGTGCCAAGTTTTCAGTCACTCAAAAAACCATTGGCATTTTTCAAATTCGTCCATAAAGGAATACAGTATTTCTAGTTTTCTCCAAAACTGTAAAGCAATTTTATTTGAAGTAGAGCTTGACAAAGGGTTCAATTAAAAAAAGAAATTGTACTTTACATTTGTATACAATTTCTTTAAGGGGAGGCCGTAGCCTTGTGAAAAAAAGAAAAGTTGAGTCTCACCTCCAAAGGACAATGATTTGGAAATGTAAAATTTTTGTGATGGCTTAAAAATCAATTTTTAATACTAATTATTAAATTTATAGTTAAAAAAGATGGTATAGATCTTGTGGATGCATAACAATTTATTTTTACGACAAAATGGACGGTCAAGATAATGTGTTACAATATAAACCATTTTTAAGATTCAATTTTTTTTTTTTCTCACAACCATAATGCTCAAAACCCAGATAATCGATTTGAAGATCTACCGACATCACAAGTGTAATTTTCAATGAATTTTACGCTTTACGTTTCTTCTCTTTTGTATTCCCTTTGACAAGTAGGACAGGTTATTTGCTTTGTTTCTTTTAAGAATTGTATACTATGAAATTGTTTGTCTTTGTTGGAAGGTCCCAATTACTCCTACCCACTAGATGTCAAATTGAATAGCTTGAAATATATTACAAAGTTTGAAAATTTTCTTTTGAAGTTTGAGTCTGGTTAATGACACTCTTATAATCACCTGGTTTGAAATCTGATGGAGAAAAATGATTGCGACCTCCTTATACTAAAAATAAATGATCTCTTTGTATATTTTCTTTTCTTTTTAAGTATTGGCTTCATGCATCGTGCACCGCCCTAACGCTGGCTCCCATGTGCGGAAGATAAGCTTCTACCCATTTTTTTCAAATAGTTTAGAAATTAATTTTTTGAAAATGTCAGTGGAATGGTGTTAGTGAGAATAAAAATCGCAACATGATGACTAAAGTGTGGAGGTGTTACCACCACGACCCCAGCTCCTCTCCCAACTAAACCATGATATTGTAACTAAATGTTATCTAATACAAGTACAAGCAAGTATTGTGACTTTAAAGCGCTGCACAAGTGAGAACATGATGGTAATTTAGCCACTTAAGTTGCTCAGGACAAGTAACCTAAATACCCCAGGCAAGAAGAATTACATGTTTTGGTTAATGTGGGGCTAAATTATCAAAATACCTTTAGTTATTTTAGGTTTCAAAATTAAACCATTATTGTTTAAAATGAAACATATAACATAAAAAAACATATTTTAAGTTTGAAAACTAAAACTAGAGTTCTTATGATCATTAAAGTCATGTGACTTTTAAGTGAACGAAGCAATAAAATGCCTCATTTTATTGGGGGACTATAACCAAATGCCGGGACTTCTAATATTTTTTAACAAAATCAAAGCACCCAACAATAAAATAAAAGCACCCAACAATAATTTGTCTAAATAATTATTTAGAAGTGAGGCTTTATTTTATTTTATTTGCAAGCTCTAAAAATAGTGTATATTGTGATAAATTATTTAGACTATCTAAAATAAAAGCACCCAACAATAAAATTTGGAACTAAAAAAATATACAAATCTTGTCAATTTGTGAATGTTTATTTTTAAGGTGAAATGGATAGTCTAAATAATTTGTCACAATATACACTATTTTTAGAGCTTGAAATCCTCGCTTCTTCCACAACTATAATGTTCAAGCTAAGATAATTATTAAAAACATTTTCTAGTGCTTGAATTGCAATTTTCAATGAGTTATAAGGTGAAGATTTACTTATTTTGATAGAGCTACAATCATATCCATTGTTCGCACAATCGCCCGATCTAACCGTTAATCGCCCGATTAAATCGGAACCGACTAATAGCCGGTTCCAGTATTGGGCTGTTAGGGTAATCAACCAGTATTAAATATATATATATATTCTCAAAAAATAAGGAATTTGATCTGTAATGAATTCATTCTTTACATTATGGTAAAGATTAAAAATTGTTTTGATCATTAATACTCCCTTTTATATTTTCCCATCTTTTTAAAAAAAATTAAAAAATAGCCCTTCAAAAATATAAAATGGGTTAAAAAACCTTTTTTTTTCATTAATTTTCAATTTCATTTGAATGTGTTATGTTTTAATCATTCTTTATATACTTTTTATATTTTAGTAGAAATTTTTTTGTATTTTTTTTATTTTTTTCAACACATTTTTTACCGCCCAAAACTTGCCCTGTTAGAACGGTTAAACCGCTTCCAAGCCCATGTCCGGCTACCCATTCCGGTTTGATTTTGCGAGCACTGGTCCTATCAAACCATTTTCTTTTTTCTAACGTTAACTTCGAAAAACACAATCGACTCTTTGGGCGCCCATCAAGTGGTCTCATGTCACTATGTTACTAGGAAATATAACGGTGGCAGCCAGTGGATCCATTAGTTGGGGGATTCACATCCTCCGAAGTGAGTAGCCATTCACTTTTTCTACGTGGGTGTTAACTCACCACAACATTCCTAAATTTTGTTAATAGACAGAAAAATACAAGTATGAGTGTTGTGCACAAATATAACTAATTTCTTCCTTTTTCTGCAAAATTTCATAATAAAGATTCAGTTATGCCAACTAGGCAAACGTTCAGGCATGCTTAGAGCAAATAAAATTGTGAATATAATAATTCTCTGATTTTGTAATATTCCTCTGTCAAAGGACCTTCAATGCCCACCTGTTGCGTGGCACCCTGCAGAAAAATTCAGTAAAATTGGTAATAATAAGAACAAGCACCTTTTCCTACTTTTCTTTTGCAAGATTGATTTTGGATTTCTCTAGTATTTCTGAAAAATCCAATTAATCATCAAAAAAATAAAACCCAAAATATTCGATTTTTCCTTTCTGGGAAATTTGCAGGGCGTTTTTTGAACACCGGATTTTTCAAAAAATTTAAACGTAACTTCTATGTTCCAAATTAATCAAAGGAACCCATGTTCCAAAATGCAAGTATTTGGAGCCTAATTTTCACATGAATTCTGATTCAAGAGTACTCTGAATTGAAACATTTACCTTAGAATCTCCAACTTTCCGTAATGTTATATTTTCGCCACAACGCAGGAAACCCTTCGAGAATTCAGCCTTGAAATCAATTAGGAATGTGAGGAATCATGAGAGAATATCATTAAATGAAATATAGAAATCAAAACAAAAAGCAAATTACAAACTGCTATTTTGCTGAGGAGTGTATGACTTTTTCCTTCAGGTAAATAGCAATATACAATCATCACATGAATGTATCCCTACCAATTGCTCCACACATACTGGGGTCTCTCTCTCTCTCATGGTTGTGAGTGTGCTAGGGCATGTATGCATGTCGGAGAGAGCAATGTTGAACCGTGTATTGCATTTTGTAAGTTGAACTCCTCAAAAGATCTAGTGCATTAGAAACTGCAAGCTCACTCAACTAAGGTCTAAGAAAATGAAAAATCACTTGACAAAACTTAGACCTTCTGCACCATATGCCAAAAAGAGTCTGTGCAACCGAAACTGAACTTATTAAATATACGCAAGAGACCACAAAAATATTATTTTGAAAAGGATTATATATGATAAGGATCAAGTCCACAAGATCAAATTCATTCAAACATAGTAAGCACCAGGCTGTTGGTCATCCACCCTCAAGCTATTTATGTTTAGGCCCAGTTTGGATATCAAAGAAAAAAATACTCATACTGAAAAAAAAATACAATTTTTTTCTCCTCAATTGAAAAACATTATCGTTTTATTTTATTATGTTGGTAGACTGTTAGGATATTTCTTAAAATATGAGAAGAAAATTTTATTTGCCAGATATCTGTTTGGATGTCGATAAGAAATCCCAAACCCAATTTACACCATTCTAGCATTTAATTATATTGATTCTTCTCATTTAATTATATTGATTCATCTCTCTAGATCTGCAATTTATTCCTATAAATGTAGGAGACATAGAAGATCTGCAGTTTATTCTTACAAATGTCGGAGACAGAGAGAATGAGAAGAAACCAGAAAACAGGAACAGGGAGAAGTTAAATATTATTATTTGAGTAAGAGCAAGGAGAAGTTCAATATTATTATTAGAGAGAGTAATGGAGGGGCAAAAGAGGTTTCCTGTGCAAATGTTTTGAGGTTATATTATTATTAGAGAGAGTAATGGAGGGGCAAAAGAGGTTTCCTGTGCAAATGTTTTGAGGTTTGGATAAGAGAGGTTTGCTCTGCAAATATTTTGCGGTTGTAGAACATCCCCCTTTGCACACTCAGAAAACCACTCCATTAAATTTAGATAGAGCTCTACATACTCAAAAAACCACTCCATTAAATTTAGATAGACAATCAAGGTTCTTAGAGTTATCGAGCAAAAGGCTGAATTAGAATCGCTATCCAGCAACCCATCGAAATGCTAGGGAGAGCTATGTGAAATTAGGGGCTTTCTAGAGAGAGAAAGATGGAAAGGTTCATTTTTTAGAGAGAAATATTCAATGGGATTTGTAGTTGAAGATGAGGCTTTCTAGAGAGAGATGGAAACCTTCATTTTTTTTAGAGAGAAAAATTCGATAGGATCTATAGTTGAAGATGAGAGAAGGAAATAGATGTGCTCAGAGCGGGAAGGTTTGGCGAAAAGGCCAAGAGGGAAGCGAAACTTAGGGGAAAAACGCGAAGAGGGAAGCGAAAAAATTTTGAGAAACTCAAATTTTTTTTCGCTCACGTTTTTTGGTACATTTGGCTTAGCATCATAATCTATTTTGTTGGGAAATAAATTCTGATGGAGTTATCCAAACAGTACCAGTGCCTATCTCAAATCCTTTTTTATTGTCATTGGCAAATATTGCAAGTTTGGATGCAATTTTGGGTGCATCCAAACTTGCCCTTAGATCGAGTAACTTTTTAAACCACTTATTTTTCTAACCAGTTCAGGAATTCTTGTCAAATCCTTGATGGTGAGGAATCCCAATTTAGACTAGATTCCTCTAGAGATCATCACAATCAACATGTGCATCATTTATTTGCAATGCCTCCGGATTAATATGAATTAATCACAAGAATAATAACTATGAGAAGCAGTGGAGGGCATGTGATACTAGGTAAATGAGTAAATCACAATTGGAATAGTGGTAGGAATGAGAGGAATATAGTGTTGGCAGAGCTACCATTGGAGAAGAACATTAACTACTTGCAATGATGTAAAAATTAAATTAGTCTCATGTATATCATGGTAACCTAGCAAGTCTAAAGTGAACGGCAAAAAAGAAATGAGAAAAGAAGAAAGGATCAGATTGAAATTCACTAACTCAATTCATTGGTTCCTCCCATTATCAGAAGTGAAGGAACACATGCAAGAAGAAAAGAAGAGAGGTACCGGAACGCCTTTGCTTGCAAGAAACTGCTTGAAATCAGCCAATTTCAGGTCACCAACAAGAACAGATTTGTGCAGGGGTGGTCCAGTCGAGAGGGGTACTAAAGTTAGCATACCATCCGTCTCATTAACCTCTCCATCAATCCAAGCGATCTCATAGTCCCCAAGCTGGAACATCATCAAAATCAAACCATCAGCATTAGTTCGCAAAGTGGGGAATATGCTTCAACTTAATCCACACAACATCTTTTATATGTCATAATCATAAGTCAGTTTTTTCACAGTCAAGGACAGAGTATTCGATACAAAATGACATTTTGATGAGAAAAAGACTTCCAAGTCTAAAAATTATAGCCTTTGTATTGGAAATGAGAATTACAGCAAGGAATAAGAATGTGAGCAAATAGTCAAGGAAGCTTCCTAATTTTGTGGTATGGGGTAGTCACCATTGCGTTATCCGAAATATCTTTTCTTGCTTCGATTTATATCAATGTCACTGAATTATTGGGAATGATACATGATTTTGCTGAACTGAAAGTAATAGTACCCAGTTGTCTCTAAGTCAGGGCTCAATTGTTCCACATAATGTTTGGATTAACCACTTAAGATTAGACGATTCTAGAAATACCTCAATACTAACAAAATTTCAAAATATTTGTCAAAAAAAAAAGAAGAAACTATTTGCCATAGAAAGCGGAAAGCCCAGGAGCTGCATCTTCTTTTAATATAAACCAAATTTTACAAAAGGTTACTGTTCTCAACAACAATATGATCGCAGGAGGACTTCAGCTCCCTTCATTTTCAAAAAGAGCACAACTCCTCCTGATTTCCAAGGATAACCATAGTCATGCTATAGTATGCATGCATAAATGCATAACTACGTGTATGCATTTTCTGTTTCCTTTTCTTGTTCATGTTTGATGTCTGCACATCATGAATCTATACATATAATTCAATTTTGTTTTTTTTTTATAACCAAGATGAGCAACCATAAACTAGCTTAAATTATGATTGGCATTATATAATCCACTTAATCTACAATTCCCCATGAGTGAACTTTCCATTCTGATTTTGAAGACAAGGTGAACAAGCAAGCAAACAACTGCAATTTCTAGTCTGCATGCTTGACGTTATCAGACTATTATTGATTCAGTTACCTGAAAATAATAGATATGAAAAATCCAAGACGAAATGGTTGCAACATTCAATATCTGTCTCATAAATGTATTTTTTCATTAATATGCCATCATCCACTCAATCTTGCAAGTTTCTAGAACTAGAAAACAACGAACAGCACAATCCCGTAACATGTTCCTCCAGCAGAAAAGATGGAGTACAACAACAAATCGAAAATGGAGATATTTATTACTCTCCCCTCCAAATTTTCCAATCTTTTAGGAACCACATGTCTAACAGAAAACATCAACTTTTGAAAATTCTCGCTTCCAGAGTAAATACAGAAAAGAGTAATATCCAAACAATGCATCAACACAAATTATTCTTACGAGGATCAAAGATTATACTGCTATCCAGAATGTTACCTTCTTGAATAGAACATTACTCATTAGCCTTTCTGAAAGCCTAACCTGTGATTAATCAAGATGAAAGAGAGATTATTTTGACAATCGTAAAGAAAGAAAGACCGCACTTCAATAATGTCCTGAATGCCATAGAAAAATGAAGAATAAGCTATTGGTTAATGAATTTCATTACGTACAGAAGAATTCAACCATCATACAATCAAGTACACAAGCTAAATTTTCACATTTTACCTTGTATGCACACAAATCAGAGGTGACGTCAATTGTTTCACCAATTTGTGGAGCATATACATGAGAGCAAACATTTTTTAAGCAATGTTGTTTCAAATGCTCAGTAGCCTCTGCAGATCCATGCACTAAAACCTTCACAAAAAACAAAGCATTTAAACAAAGTATATAATATATAATTACACCAAATTATTTTTGTAACTACTCGAACAATGGAAAATGAAGACTGAAGACTAGAAAATTGGAGTAGCTACAATATCATCAACAAATTATCTAAGAAGCTTATGACATAAGAATCCAATAATAACAGAGATATTGGGAGAGATTATAGTACATCTTCCAAACAATTGTACAGCACAATGGAAATCAGAGAGGCCATTTACATAGTATGCAGAAGCATATCTACAAACTGCTAGCTGTATCACAAATCAAGGTTTTAAAAATCGTTGATCTAGATCAGAATCGTCCACTCCGGATCGGGAATAGTTGGAACCCATCTAGTTCCTGTCATATATCGGGAACCGGTCGGGTCACCTCCTGAACCAGACGGATCTATTAGAAACTGGCCGGTTCTGTCAGTCAGATCCGGTTTGATTCGATCCTGAACGCGGTGGATAAGTGCAATTTTCAAAAAACTTTCAATTGGAAGGCTCCTTTTGATATTTCTTTTGAAAGAGGGGCAGCAACCCACCCTCTGTTTCTTTCCCAAAAGGTCATGACACCTCCACATGCACCTGACAACCCACATGAAATGTGCAAGGGTTTTATTCATTCTTTTCCTTCATTGTATTGTCAATGTGGAACAAATTAAAAAAATCCTCAGCATATAAATTCAACAAATACTACACTCTCTCACTCTTCAGCATATGAATTCAACAAACGCTACACTCTCTCACTCTTCCACGTGTTGTACTCTCTTTCTCTCTCTTAACTTTTAGAAAATAAAGGTATAATATCTAAGGCTTAGTAGGCGCTCTCCCTTTCTCTTAGCTTTTGGAAAATTAAGTAATAATATCTAATACTAGTACATTGAACATTAAAAAAAAAAAATACTTGTTCAAAGAATATTTTAAGACAAAAAATGACACTAGCTTATGCCACTTTAGAATATCATTTTTAAGTTGCTTTATCAGTTATCCCACATTGCAATGAGGAATTTATTTATTTATTTTCCTAATTTTATTAAAATATGATTGCAAATTTATTTTTCTAAATCCTATATTTTTGTTCACACTAATTATTACATATTAGATTTATTTATTTGTGAGGGTCACACCCTCGTTATTTGAGTCACATTAATTATAACATTATAATTAATAATTATATTAATTACATTGATAACCAAATCTTATGTTTTACTTCTTAATTTATTTACATTACAAATAATATGCTCAAGAAGTTTTTTTGATCCAACCGGATCAGAAAAAAAATGATTTTTTATCCCTTGAGCCTCGAAGGGAATATCTTTCCTTGACGAAAAGTTTTATTTTGTAATAATTAGAATATTCTAATTTATTAGAAGAATTAAAAATGTTTGATGTGATACTAACATCAATCTATAGGTGAAATTATTTTTTTTAACCTTTAATATGGAAGCATTTTCTAATATTTTTAAATTATTTTGATGCAATATTATAATATTTTATTATAATTAACAATTATACAGACATCCAAACACAGAGACAGCATCTCAAGATTTCCATATTTTTGCAAATAATGAAAGTACATAATCTACACCTGCAATTTTACAAAAAAAACTCAAAAAACATTATTTTTAGAGATTTTAGTATTTTTTGAATTTTTTTGAATTTTTTTGGGCCAAAACTTGCCGATTCGGCTGATTCTCCAATCCGACACGTCGATCCACCAATCCGACATGGTTTTTGGGGAGGCCGATTCGGGTCATCGATCGTTTTTTTAAACCTTGTTACAAGCTGATTTGCACAATAAATAAGGGCTCATTTAGTGTCAGAAATATCAGCATGCCCAACATTACATATTTGGAATGTGGGAATCAAATTGGTCTCAATGATTAGGATGATACAAATAAGCAAATTCGAGAAAAAGAAGAAGGAGAAGAAAGACTTGCAGATACATCTATTATGACTTGCATGGCAAGGCAAATCAAAAAAGCTGGGAAAGCCAAAGCATTAAAATTAATGAGAAAAGGGGCATACAAGCTTGAGAGGAGCCACATGTGCCAGGATTGTTTTAATTGAACGGCTGTCAGAGCGCCCTTCGAAATCCTTGTATATCAAAGAGCACTTTACTTGCACCTAGATTAAATGAAGACATATATATATGTTATTTAATCAAAATAACAAAAAAAATGAGATGAAGAAAAGTAAAACGAGGTATGGTAGACATTGTTAAGGGAAAACTAATTTTAATTACAAGTTTCTGAATTCACAACTTAAGCAAAATTAGCATTCAGAAAGGAACTGAATCCTGGATAAATACATGATCAATTAGAAAAGCGATACTTGAAAGAACCTAAGTTTAAAACAATTCTCTGCAGCCTCACATTTATTCTAATGTTTATCAGTAATATTTATAAGTTGCATGGAAGAAAGGAAAACTACATTAAATAAATTAGGAAAGGTAATTGTTGGATATGAATCAAGAGAAGTGCTTCAAAATCAAAATTATTAACAGGATCAAGGTTCAGTGCTCTCATTAAGAAAACTAGATATACAATAAAACCTATTTATATTTTGGGCACGCAAACCAGATCCGAATCAAGTATGCAGCAGATTGCGTGCCAGTAATATAAAAGAATGACAAGCATATTCCAGGGTATATTAGCCCAATACCTTGCCAAAATCTAGAGCATTCCCCACCCAAAATTATGGCATTAATTACTATATTGAGGATGAGATTTGCCAATGAAAGCTGACAAGATGTATGATAATTACTTTCAAAACTTATACTAGATACTACTATGGTATTTGAATGTGAACCATCTTGATAAAACATAAATATTCATAAATAACTTTATGTGTGCCCTTTCTTAAAAGGGAAAATTATGCATGCTCCTGTCCACAAAAACAAGCATGATGCTTGTAAGCATCGTCACTGCACAGATATTGTGAAAATCGTATGCTCTACACATTGGCAATTATGTAAAATCATAAAATCTAGAAAAACAAACACGACCACAAAGACTTATTCAGAGCTGTAGCTGTGACCGTGGCTATATCTGAGCATCGTACATGAAAAAAAATGAAACAAGAGTCACATATCAATGTGAAGATACCTAGATGAGGCTTAAGATCCACAAAATACTTTGTATACACTCACAGAATAGAGAAGAGCATAGAGCAGGCTTTTAGGCTTTGTTTTAGCGATGAACTTCACCTTGTACCAAGAAAAGCATAAAGCAAAACTTAATACTTGATGGCAATAACAGAACTCAACTTTATCTTACCGTCAGTTCATTTGAAACAACCTTTGAAGGTTTTGAATCAAGAAGCATATCATTGGAATCTTCATCAAACTTGTCTTCTAATCCACCGCCAAGAACCTGAAATCAGAAACAATTCATGATCTACATCTGTTATGAATAGTTAAGCAGTGAATAAATGGGTTAAGTCTATTCGAAATGTCCAGGATACTCAAAGAAGTACTAATTTTCAAATAGAATTATATGTAGGACACAAACACGATCAATACTTGATTGCTCCTGTTAATGTACACAGTTAGGGATTTGGTACGTACAGAACAAATACAGGCAAATTGGTGCTTGGTGGTATGAGGTTCCCCTGTAAAACAGAAATGTGGAGCCTATTTGAAGTTCTAAAAAACATGTCAACAACTTTGCAGTTAATTCAAAGAACATGTCAAGGATTTTGTCAAGGATCTATGTATTATATTGGTGCTTTGCACTTTATTCTCCCAAAGACTTCATCGCCTTCATCAGTCATGCAGAGGAAGTTCAAATAGAGGGCCTTGCAAGTCTGAAGGACGGCAGAGAGGCTCTTATAAGGGTGGAACACACATGGGTAACTTCACAAATCACTGACTAAGAATCCCGAGGACAGACAATGGCACCTATGGATTGTGGTCTTTGTTTTGGTTATGCATTCTCCAAGCATGCAGTCTTTCAATTGGTTTCACTTCTTATCCAATCAACTAACATCATTATTATCAACCAGGGCATGACTATAAATAAATTAGAACTGTACAATAGAGAGAGAGAATTCAGCAAGTTTAACAACTTTATCAGACAATGGAAATTGTACACAGTTTCCAGGAGTTACAATCAATTACCACCTTCCCTTCCAAAAATAAATTATTGAAAACTTCACAAGAATTATGTTGTCATCCTGTCTAGATCATATTAGCCAGAAATCAAGCAATGGAGTCCTGAATAACAGGAAAGAAAGGAGATTTTACAAACTAATAATAAAACTTACAGCCACTGATGTTGGATCAAGCATATCTTCTTCTTTAATTGCATAGTCATCTGGATTTATAACCTCTCCAAAGTCATCCCACTCACGGGAATTCTCATAGAAAGGGAACATAGGAGAAACACTTGTCGACGGAGGAACAAATCCATCAATCAAAACATCACGGTACCCAACAATGCGAGGGCTGGCCACTGTGTAGGAAAGAAAATCTAGAACTAAGGCCAAATTATTTAATATATTTGATAATGATCAAACAACTTGATCTTGAGAAATGAAAATATCAAAGGCACTTCTCAGAATAATGAGGTTTTTCTGGTGTACAAATCACCAAACCAGAAGGAGATCATATCAATAACATGTACCACAAATGTCTGCACTGCAAGTTGATTATAGTTTTTATCAGAAAAATAAGAAAAACAAACACATAAGAGATTAACAATGTAAACAAGTAATAGAGCGGAAGTACAATAGAAAAGAGCACCACAAAAGATTCAGATATTCCTGCTTCTATCCAATGAGCAGAAACAAGCAGAGCTAATAGCTAAGCTGGAAGCTCGTAAGCAACATCATACTGTAATCCAATTTAGTGTTGAAAATACAACACATTGAAAATGATGAAGACATCGATCCAAGCAAACACCTACCTAAATGTACTAGTAAACTACAATTTCAATTAACATATTTTCCACAAGCATTGCACAACATCTGAACCAGTGCTCAAAACTCGCCCAAGTCAACTTGAATCCAGGCGAGTAGTTGCAGAGGCCAGAACAGGGTACCTAAGTGTAACCTGTAAAGTACTCAGGCGAGTCTGTATTGTATCACCTAATTCAAGTCGCAACTTAAATGAAGGGGGGCTGGTTCCCTCCCAAACCCCTTATTTATATATGGAAAAAGTTTATATAGAGCCGAGGCTCTAAACAATCAAATTAGAGCCCACATAAAAAATTCCACTAGACGAGGTTGTTTTGATGCCCAAATATCCTCAAATTGATCATCTCAACATCAAGATGCATGGACATGAGAAAAAAATGGATTTCATGTTTTGGAAATAGTGCATCTTGTAATGCATTTTTGAACTGTCAATTTTCAAGATTTTCAAGTTTTTATAGATCTTCTCGATCTACACTATTTTTGAAGCTTTAAATTTTAAAATTAAAGATAAAAATATATTTTAAGGCTGTCACAAAGATTTCCAATATTGAAACCACATTTCTCAATACTATTTGAAGGTGCGCTTTACTTTGATTGTTTAGAGCCTCGGATCCATACAAACCGCAACACATACACAAATATATTGTTTTCAATTTTGAGCCCCAGGGCTAGAGATTTGAGCCCAAATTGAGTCCCTGGTAAGATTTTAGCCTAATCCTAATCTGTCTGTTAAGAACATTAAATTTGAGAGAAAAAAAGAATCAGACTTGACAGATTTTTTAGATCGAAAATTTCAGGCAAGGGTTTGCCCCATTTTTACCTTTTTTTAATTAAATTAATTTATTTCTTCGCAATTTTTATAAATCTTTGATGAAATTTGATTGCTAAGTTTTTTTGGATTCTTCATCCAACAATAAGTTTGTATTAAAAAACAAACACAAAATAATTAGGATTTGAGAGATTTGAAATTCGAATATACTATTCATCCAAATTTTTCAAGAGCTCAAATCAACTAGATCCAATCTCGAATGCAAAACTGGTTAGGGAGGTTTGATTCTTTCACAAGGATTGGAGGCATCGATTTGCACCACGAGTGAAGATTGGGGGATCAGCCTAAAAAATTCAGGTAAATTATTTTTTCCAATTTAAGATATTTGATTTATTTTTTACTGGTATCACCAAATCTAGTAAGATTTATGTTATTGTTGAATTTTTTGAAAATTTTAACTGTGTTGCATTTTATGTTATTGTTGCATTTTATAGGAAATGAGAAATATTTTTCTTTTTATTACTCGATGTTCTCGTGCACAGAGATTTTTTAGAATCTGTAGTGATACCGATTATAGTTTTGGGTTTTTCTATAATGTGATGATACTGATTATATTCTTTTTATGTATTTCTCTATGCATCTAGCATGCTTCGATTGTTTTGGAAGCAGGATTCTCTCTCAAAAAAACAGACCTTTTTTTTGCGGCATTCTTAGTGAGTTTTCCCCAATCTTTTCCCCATTTTTTGGGGGTCTTTGCGGTCCTTCCGTTGGCTCTGTCATGACTCAAGCAAGTCGAAGTACACTCACCCAAGTCACTAGGCTTGGGCAGATGTCGAGTACCTTGTCCGAGCTGCTTTTTCAAACACTGCTTTTTAATGTTTTTTTTGTGCACCTAGTGTGCTTCGAATGTTTCAGAAGTAGTACTCTCTGGAAAAACACTAGGCCTTCATCATTTTTCTCATTTCTACTATTTTTGTCATTTAGGTATTCTTAGTGATTTTTGGGGATATTTTCCCTTTTTGGGGGCCTTTTTTGGCCCTTCATTGGCTTGGTCATGACTCAGACGAGTCGGCTCGTCAAGGTCTCTTCGCTCATGCAGGCGTTATGTACCATGCTTTAGCCGGCTTTTAAAGCATTGATTTGACCATTGCCTAGGGGCAGGACAAAATCATCGAAAGAACTGAATGGGTCTTGAGGGTGACCTATGGCTGATGTACACAAGCCTAGGATCAATTTACCATTCAACAAAGAGAATTTGAACCTTTTCCACTAGTCTAATTGGTTTCTTTCATGTCCAATGGGCACTGAGCATGGAGGATGACACCCGTAATGTTAATAGATAAGCTAGTGTGCTACACAATATGCATTCTCCTGTACTGACTACAGATTGGCTGACTTGCTAGAGGAGAGACACTTACACGTCTCGGTCTGGAGTTCTTGACTGCATGTATTAGAAAAGTCAATCATAGTGCTGACCTCCAAGTCAAACAGAAATTAACCTGGTCTCTCGATCGGGGTGTCCCCAAGTATCTCAATAGGGGTGTCCCCAAGTAGGAGGGGAGAATGATATTATTATAAAATAGTAAGGATAGAAGAAGTTTAGGATCACATTAAATTGATAAATTTCCGTTTAAGGGAAGCCCTGTCATTAGTGTTCTGAAACACAACTTGGCCAAAGTACTCGGACCTTGGCCAAGGCAAGTTGCTCGGGTGAGTCCGAGTAACTCACCCAAATCTATCCCGAGTAAAAAAAAAAAAATTTGATAAAAAGTATACTATATATAATATAGCCTTGACATCTTGACATCAAATAGGCGTGCTGGTTATGTATTCTGACATTGGAGCCTTCCTTTATGAGAGGTCCTGAGTTCAATCCTTATCGTTGTTTTTTTTTTTTCTTTTTCTTTTTTTTTTGCACTCCCACCCTTAAAAAAAAGATGGTCTCATGGGTTTTAAAAATTGATGTTTGTTGGTGGGGTTCATAACTCTACAATGCTGGGACATGTGTGTGAGCACTACCCAAGGAGCCATTCAATGGTATGTGACCTAAGCTTCACATATTAATATAAAAACAATTTATAAACATGGTGTACAGCCTACACACCCAAAACTCCCCTCACCCTTATGGCAAGGCCGAGTCTCGGAACACTGCTTGTCATTATGAGTTTTATCTAATGCAGAGAACATCATCCACTGGTTACCTTAGAAATAGAATGATAACAAGCAAGTATGAGACTATCGAGACTAACTTTCAAGAAAGGTATATTACGTAAATTGTAAGCCAAGTCGAGTAGCAACCTTCTGATGAGATAAGGCCACCAGCTGAATCAATTACCATAGGGTCAGATAAGCTTTTATCAGGAACAATGCAGGAGGCTTTCAAGTCATCCTCTTTGCTGAGACTGGCCTTTAGGGCTTCTTCCTTTTTTATTCGATTTTGTTCTTCTTCATATGCCTTTAACTCCTCCCCAACCAAAGGAACTCTCTTGTGCATGGTAACCTTTACAACTTTTGGAGGTGGATCAACTTGAAGCATTCGAGCTAGTGTCCCAAACTGAAATCAGATATATAATCTGAGGTTGTATTTCTAAACTTTGAAGCATGCTAAATGTAAATTTCAGGAAAAATGAACAAGACATACAAAGTTCTCACTCTACAATAAGTCATGCAGGTGCAAACCCAGTAGCAGAAATAAATGCAAAGCACGATGAACTAAAGTAAGGAGGTGATCTAATTTCTCAAAGTGTTACCAACTCCCATGATGTAAGGCCCATACAAATAAAGGATGCAACACTTATGTGTTTGCATGGAAAGCCGTATCCACAAAAAGAGAAGAAAAAAATGTACAGATAACATATACAAAAGCCTGCTGATGTCATAAACCAGTACCTAGGTCCAACATAGCCTCAAAGCTAACATGGATACACATGGCTTGACACACACACTAATTGGAAGGTATTAATTGGCCAAGTCTGTTTATACTAGCACGCAGCCCTGTGCAATGGACAGAAAGTGGAAGAGAGCTTTTCTACAGGATTTTGGTTACCTTTTGTTTTGTTAAATGTAGACAAAATAAATTAAAATATCTAGAAACCAAATATCAATACATAATAATCTTACAACAAGTTAAACTTAAGTTTATACATAAAAGATAGAATTTTAGTTGAAACTCAAGCTATTCCTATCCTTAGTTAGATGTGGCACTTAAAACAGCGTTCAGATTTCATTTAATTTTGGGATTTAAGGAAATAAAAGGCCCATGGGAAGCCAACAATTATTAATTGCCCGTGAAAACTTGAAAATCAGTGTAATTTTAAATTTTTAATAAATATGGTCTTTTTTCAATGACACATATTCTTTCCAAAAAGCCCTTGATAGCTTTCTATACATTATAATGCCTCTAAGATAGGGACACTTTCATTCAAAAATGAAATAGGGGTGCCTTAAATTGAATAAGGTTATTCTCAAAATTAATAAATGTTAACAGGGTTAGTATAATATCTGACACACGATCACACCCAGAACCCAAATTTCATATATAATAGTATAATATGAATTAGCCAAAAGGTCAAATTATAGCCTAAGCTAAGAACACAAAAAACACATGGTACCAAACCTCAAAAATCCAATTCTAACCAAAAAGGAGAATAAGCATTAGAACAGTTTTTAAGCTCATACGATACTTTCCTGGCATCATAAAATGCACATATAGCCAATACCAGAACAAGGAACTTTGATAAATTTACCTGGGCCCTCTCAGTAAAAACCACTAAATTCTTCGAGTCAACTGCCCATTCAACAAATATATCATGGGAGAATCCCTCTTCCAAACTGGCCATAGATGCTAGGACAACCTAAATGGAAGGAATCAGTATTTCTGCTTTCATATTGATGCAAGTATAACAAAGTGTCAATATGCTAACCTTTGGTCCTTCTGGCAATTTCTCCAGTTCCTTCTTGTTGATAATAATGTTAAAATTCCTGAAGAAGTTGACAGCAAAACAATTCTTAGGAAACAGTCAAGTAAAACAAAGTAACAACACATGGGGATATTAATGCCCCACCAGTTTGCAAATAGTCATAGATGTTCACACAAAGCAGCTAGTTATATCAAAGACAGTAAATGAAGTAGATAGTCCACTGACTGCACCCAAAACTCTGAACACTGATGGCAAATAGATAGGTTCAAAACATGACAGTTCGCCAACACAACAGATCTACTCCTTAGAGCATTTCCAGGTGACCCTATAAATCTTTTGCGAATTTTCTTGAAGTTAATGTTCGACAGATGCTATTAAAGGTTCACCACGTACTTGAAGGTGTTCCTAATTATACATTTTCATCAAACAACAAAATGACTTAAAGTCCACAATGAAAACAGTTTACTTTTACTCCAGCTGGAATTGTATCAGTGGATCTCAATATGAAACCCAAATTCACAAGAATAAACAGTGTAAAATAACAGAGAGAGAGAGAGAGAGAGAGAGAGAGAGAAGAGGGAGGGAGTCTGCATCATCTTCAAAAATAATAAAATATCAGACATTTGATTGTGCAGCCACAACAATGATATATATGGAAACAGCAATAGATTATAATTTAAAAAGGCAGTAAAGATTTAAGGAACCAACCATTTTCTTTCCTTACTATTTTCCTTTTTTGTTTTCCATTGTGAATCCTATCATATTAGGTATGTTACTGTAAGATCTCTGTAAGTATTAATATGAGAACTATTGTGATTGCGACCAGAAAAGGATTAGCAAGAAAGTCTGATTGACCAGAATTATACCAGTGCAATAACCCCAAGTAGGCGAATTTCTTGAATGGCCAACAAGGAAATTGAGCATCTCCAAACAGAATTCTCAAAGGATTTTTAAAAGTCCGAGAAAAGTTCATCCAATCAATTTGTAACTAAGATATAAACACATCCAATCGGGAAACACTCAGAATTGGTGAATCAAACCAACTAGTGACTAAGAAACAATGTTATTAAGTTGAAAGGAGGCGAACATACAACACAAACAGACATGTAATTATCTGTTATCCGACATTGTTAGAGCAAGGATATTCTGGTCAGTTTAGGGCATCTAGCATTTCTTTGGAAATAAGGTCTCCTTGGTCATGCCACTGAAATTAGCAAGCCATAGATAAAAGAAGATAAACACATTCACACACCCAAGCAAGCAACCACATAAAAAGGACAGGAAAACTTCCATGCTTCAGCTGTTTTTTTTTCCTTTGAATAGTAATGCCGAACATAGGTCACCTGTATGAGTTCTAGAGATGCGATATAAATCATGACAAATAAAAGAAAGTATGGCAGAAGAGATGCCTTACTTCAGAACAAACACATTGTCCCTGGTATGTTCAAACGACTTGCCAATCGAATCAATCATCCACTCAAGGGAACTCTTCGCATATTCGATAGTGCTAGTTGCAACATTTGTTAGAAATGCAATTGGATAAGACAGATGATGTTGTGTCCAGTACTGCAATTTTACCAACAAGAAAGCTCATTCACAAAGTTGCCCAGACAAATACACGAGAAGACAACTGGCTCAGACTTGACTCTGCTCACCTGTTCTAAGATCAATATAAGCTCCAGTACTCGTCCTGCAGTGTCAACAGGAAGCAGCACCTTTCCATCCCCTCGTAGAGTCCTAAGAATTGCATCTGAAAGCATCAAACAGAACAAGAACAACATGTGAGTAGAGATGATTATGCACCTGCATCATGATAACAATGTAAAACTATCAGAATTCAGAGCCACTAACACCAGTTTAAGAAATAATTGCAATGAAAAGCATGGCATGCTAGAACATGCTAGAATGACAATTCCCTAATTGTTATGCGTCTGAAAACATGAAAGAGACCATGCTTGCACAGGATCATTTTGCAGGTTTTCCATCTGATTAGTTGATGTTTTAAAAGATGTGCTGCCAAAACAATGTGGTGAAATATTGCCACATGGCTAGACCACAAAACACAAAGATCACATGCTACACGCACACACACACGCACACACACACACATACACACACACACACTGCTTTTCTATAAAACAAAGTCTCTGGCATTTTTATGATCCCAAATTTTGCACTCACACTCTCTTCATCCCATTAATCAATGCCAAAAAGAAAAAAAATGGAACTGCACCCTAGAAGAGTTCAAATGAGTCACTCTTTAATTATGATTCTAGATCGTCCATTTGGCGGACATTGGGATATAGGCATTAAGAGCTCAAAATTAATTTTTTGTTTTTTAGATTTGTACATCTCATGCCTGAAAGGTCATCTAGAAAAAACTGGGATAAAAAGAATTCCTTTAAGGCCTAGTTCTAATCATACCATCAAATAAGCGACCTATGTTCATTGGGATTTTAAAAAAAAAAAAAGCAATTTCTATAGTGCATTTTTTAGATTTTATTTTTTGATATTGTTCATAAAAGTGAATTGAGTGTATGTTACAAAATTAGGGTCAAACAAGTACAACTAACATGGTTTTTGAAAGTATGTTTCATTATATTACTATAAAAGAAATTTCGTGGTGTACAAATTAGGGCCAAAGGGCTTATGTTGCATATCTAAGCTGAGACCCAAGACACATAATACGGGATTTGTTTGGGTTGAATTGTTGCACAAATTCTTTGATTTGAAAAATGGATAAGTTAAAAGGAAATGACTTTCAGTTCTTGAGGGCCCAGATCCACCACCAAATGGGTGGTCTATTTTCATCGAAAACGATACCATTTCTTCATGTAAATTCAATGTTCTTTTTTTTAAAAAAAAAAAATTATCATGTAAATGAGAAAATCCCCCAAAAGGTATTCACTTGGATCCGGCAGACAAAATCGAGAAAACTTGGAAAAGAAAAGAAATGGCTTTTTTGTCTTTTTGAGAAGAGAGAAATGAAGTAAATATGGGCCATCCACTTTAAGAAAGAAAAAACAGTGTACAATCGAGGCCCTAAGGATATTCTTTTTACCCCAAATTTTGTAGGTTGCCTCATCACCACCAGGCATACAATTTAAAAAAAAAATGACTGAGAGTTCCAAAAGGTTAGACCTGGCCACGCATGAAATGGATGGTCTGCAAATACCGAGTTAAAAAAAAAATTGCTGTTTTCTTTTTAACTAGTGAACTGTAAAAAAAAAAAATCGCATTCCCTGGGCTTTTTTTCGAATATTTCATGGGCTTCTCAAATTTCAGCCAAAACAAATTACCCTGAGCCCCCAAAAATGGGGGAGGGTGGACATTGTAGCCGTCCACCCCTGAACATACCAAAAAAAATTTGCATATTTTTTATTTGTAGTGCAAATGCAAAAGAATTAGTTTCATTCTCAGACAACACTGGCCATACCTTGAGATTAAAGGAATAGGCCAACAACTCAGTTTTTTCCCAAAAGCAACAGTCACAATATGATAGAAATCAAGTAAAAGAAGTAAATGTAGGGAAACAGGGATAGATTTTCTACAGATAACCTATTAAGATAGATGTCCCAAAATAAAAAAAGGCAACAAATGGAAAATAAAATGAAGATTCGACCAAAACAAAATATCCGTTAACAACTCATCTTCACATACCTAATTACTTCGGGATTAGTCAATGAAATGCAAAATCTCTTTAGTTTCTACTTCAGAGGAACTTCCATTCTAAAATTATTCACACTCAGCCAAATAAACCTAAAAATGAGAAGGCAGTTTAAAAAGTCTGCAGTGTAACAATGATTGGATCAAACTAAACTAAGCCACAATGTGTGGAACGTGTATATGGTGTTTGATCAGGCAGATTTCAGGAGCAAAATAGACAGATAAAGAAGCAACTGCCTTCACAAACTAACAACAAAGGAAAAGAACAACCTAGGAATTCCTGATCCCTTTGACGTGTGGAAGGCTGGTTGTTTAGGGCATTATAGGCATCCGTTATCAATACAGCAGGTCGGACAAATGACTCTAGAACAGTTCCATTCAAATGCCTGACATATCAGAACAGTAAGATCATTATGGATCTGCTTCAGTAACACAAAATTATACATTTTGCGAATAAGCAAAACAAAGTAACCTTTCCTTCCGATGGTTGAAATCAACTGCATATATTACATCCTCTCCATCCTTAGTTATCTTCCAGATTGTACCTCCCAAAAGATGCCCAGCTACATGAGGGGTGATAACTATCCCTTCTCCTTTACCTATTATAAAAGATATTAGTCACAGATATCATTCATCAAAGCCTTCCACTTGTACGAACAAATGGAGTCAGAAAATACCAACCAGAGAGATGGTAATAAAATACCAACCAGAGAGATGGTAATCTTGAGAGTACGTCAGCCTAGTCACATTTTGAAAAGCAGCATCTATATCATCGAGAGAGAATAAGTCAAAATCTGAAACTTGCTGCAGAAGGAAATCAAGAAAGGACACATATTAGAGGAATGGATGATAAAACATTGGAACCAATCAATCAAGAAGAAATCAGATCCATGCTATCAAATGTCCAATGAGGACAAATACAATAATTGTTCCGCCAAATATTTCTCAAGCATACAAACAAAAGACATGAAATGTACTCTATTTTCAAAATCTAGTAAGTCCTCATGTAGAGAGAAAGGAACAGCTAATTTTAGTTTTCTTTGCAAGACCAGAAGAAATAAGTTTGGAACAATTATATAACAGCAGAATAGGCTAAGAAGCCCTTTACCATCAGGACTTGAAAATGGAGTCAAATTTTCAAGTTTCCAAGAGCTTTGCACCACGTGCTAAAATTCGATAACGTAACTAGTAACTCCATATCATCTTTTGAATTAACATATTTGACACAAAAATAAGTCCAATTGATTCACTGGTTACCAAAATTAAGTTAAAATTGAATATGCAAGCAACTGGCCATTTTAGGAAGATGAAAACGCTGCATTCTTTCTCAACTTCAAAGTATTGCCACAATTTACGTGAGGAAAAGTAATTGCAATTTTCCTACACAGTAAATTAAGACTATTTTGGTCATTCAGAGAAACAAAGTTTTCACTTTACACTTTATCAATCTAGTATAAATTATCAAAGAAATCTCCAACTCCTATTATTTAACCTTTCCCCCATGCTATGATTTCTAAAATAGCAAAAGCCATCTATATGGCATTCACCTCTTTGGAACAGTAAGAAAAAATAGGAAGGCCCACGCAAATGTGTGCTAGCCAAGAAACAAGGAATGCTCCAATGTAGTTGAACATAAAGATATATATATATATATATATATATAAGATCGATCAAACTAATTGAAGAGTTTGAACCTGTAAAGAATTATTCTACGATGTCCATCAAAAATTGAACAAGAAGAAATAACATACCCTTCGTGAAAGATAGTGGTCATACATCGTTAAGAGGCCTAGTTTGTGTACAGGCTCAGTTGAATATACTGGAGCAGAAAGGCCAAATTGTTTCATGGCATATGGCAAAGCACCAAGGTGAACAGTATCTGGATGGGACAACAACACAGCATCTATTGTTGATGATACCCTGCAAAATTAAGATTGCTAAGTGATCTACAAGTGTTCCCCTTATAACCAGAGTACAAGAGAACCACACAAAGTTAATATATTAAGAAGAGAGAGATGCAAAGCAATATAAATCCAGGTTGTTTGATTAATTAGGTGATATTTCATATTTACCACTCAACAAACTGCCACATTGGTTAGAGAAAAAGCACATAGACGTTTTTTTTTTTGGATGAGTCAGTGAGGAAAGGGCCCCTACCCTTGGTAGGAATTGAGTTGCAAATCATCAAGCGCTAACCAATTAAGCCCGGGCTCTTTTCCTAAAGCACATAGAGTTGCCATGACAACTTTGACAGCTAAGCACAGTTATGTGGAGCACCTACAAATCAATTACTTAACAAAACATGCATCACAACACTAAGTTCGTAATCGGGGTAGCAACTGAGGAATGGATTTCTACACATATCTAAAGGACTCAACCGGCACTAGAAGGCAAAGGAATTATAAATAGCCACTGGTTCAAGCGCAAATAATTTTTTTACCACAACCCCACTTGTAGCAGTCCTAAAGATGATTCATTCTGATGCAAACCCTGCAATGGGATTCTTACATAAAGCACTACACCATGCAAAGCAAGCCAGATAAGCAAATTGCAAACACCACGAGAAAGTTTGAGACATTAGACAAGTGGGCTAACACACCATCCAGTTCATGTAGCAGGTAACTTTCAATTTCAAGTTTTAATATGTAATTATATCTTAGTTGTGATTTATGTGCCTTGTGGGTTGTGCTGTACTTGATCAACCACTGATATAATGTATTCAAACTTATTCTTTAACCCGCAGTCCACCATCAACCAGGCCAAGCCAGCACCTTAAGATCATGGAAGAGAAGTATTGTAATTGGAAGATTAGAGCAAGGTGAAGGTGATAAAATTGAAGCTTTGAAAGAGGTAAACTATCATTTAATTTGTATTCTGTAAATTAAAATTCGAAATGTATACTTTGTTCTTTTAGCTTGCTTTAGATATGGATGCACACGGAAACTTTTGTCCAAATGTCGTGAGAAGAAGTCGCTCACAACTAAGCCAGGTTAACTTTCAAATACTCCTAATTCATAACTCCTATAATATAATATTAAAACTAATCTATTTCATCGTATTGTACTATGCGATTGTGATTTTATTTGAGTAATTTATTTTTATCCCTATTTAGCAAAATGGCGAGATATACACAGAAGCGACACCCCTTACTTTGCGAAAGATCACATTTTAGGATCCTCGGCCAAACATGCTCCCGGGGTGTGAGAGAAACTGGAGTACAACTCAATGGATCCAAACACCAAGGAAAAACAAGTTACTAAATGAGGGTCCACAAAATTGTTTACACACACTACAATCTGAATCAAAAGAAGAGGCAGTTGCGGAGGGAACTGTGCAATTACGTCCCAACCAATATTGAATACATATTTATTGATATCATGCAAAGGAATGACTGGCGGAGCGAGAGGAGCCAAACATCAACAAAAGGGTCCTTGAAGAATTGGCTGGTTCAAAAGCAAAAGAGGTAGGAGTGGAGGGCATCGAGACTCAACAAGATGCACAATCAGATGACTATGAGCAAAATGATGAGGATATGATGACAATGTGGAAGATGATGATGAGAGTTAAAAATACAGCAACCAAGGAGTAATGAAGTGGGAAACAATAGAAAGAGTGATCAAGGGAAGGAGGGAGAGGTAGGAGAGATACTTGAGAGAAGGAAAAGAGGAAAGAAGGTTACGTGAGGTCTAGCCTAACCTCCAAACACCTCTCAATTATATTATATTACTTATAACTCTTCTTATGTGCAAAAATACCCTTTAAGTGAAAAAAATGTACTAAGAGAATTCATTTTCACTTTCAAAACACTCACCTTCAAGATGGTGCATAGATATCAATTATGCCCAACTTGCGTAAGATAATTATAGTCGAGGTTTCCCAATGGCCTTTGTTAATTTATGGGCCAGGCGATCTTCTACCTTCACATAGGGAAGACAAATTTCTCTGGTAGCAACGTTATTTCTAATAAAATGTAGGTCTACCTCTATATGCTTGGTATGATCATACTAGACTGGATTGTGAGCTATACTAATGGCTGTATTGTTATCACAATATAAGGACATTGATCCCTTTACAAAAAAAAAACCAAACTCTCATAATAGGATTTTTAACCACAGCAACTCACATGCTCCATTAGCCATGGACCAACACTCTGCTTCTGCACTTGAATGTGCTACAGCTAATGGTTTTTTACTCCTCCAGTCACAATATCACTTCCAACCAGTGCACAGTAACCAGGCGTAGATCTGCGGTCCATATAGAACCAGCCCAATCTACATCTTATATAAACCTCAATTATTAATTTCCCATATTAGCGAACAACAGTTCTCTACCAGGCGATGATATTAAATATCTAAGGATTCCGTAAGCAGCTTCAAGATGAGTATAAATAGAAGCATGCATAAACTGACTACTCGCACGCACAACAATTGCAATATTTGTGCGTGTGGATGATAGCATCTTTCCCTGTTTCCTTGCGGGGATCTAGCACTTACTTCCTTTTAAAAATAAAAATTCCTCTCTTAGACCTGGCCACTTCTATTCTAGGAAAATATTTCAATGGGCCTAGTTCAAATTCCCTTGCCAAGAAACTCTTTGAGTTGCTGAATTTCCTCAGGAAAATTACTTGTTGCAACAATATCATCCACATATACAATCAAGGCAATAGTACTCACCTTAGTATGTTCCACACATAAGGTATGATCAGCATAACTTTGAGTATACCCAACCCTTTGGACAGCACCACTAACCTTTCATACCAGGCTCAAGGAAACTGCTTTAGTCCCATAAATGACCTTTCTCAATCTACACACTTTTCCCTCATTTTCAGGAGCCCTATAGATGGAGGAACCATATAAATTTCTTCCTGCAAATCCCCGTAAAAAAACGCATTCTTGATATCTAATTAATATATTGGCCACTCCATATTATCTGCAACAGACAAAAGGACACACATCGAGTTCATCTTAGCCATAGGAGTGAACGTCTCCTAATAGTCAATTCCATAAGTTTGAGTGAACCTCTTGGCAATTACCGTGCCTTATATCTGTCAATTGTACCATCAGCCTTGTGTTTTACAACATAAACCCATTTGCAACCAACCAGCTTCTTCCTTTTAGGAGATTCTACCAGATCCCAATTCCCACTCTTCATTTATGCCCTCATCTCCTCAAGCATATCATCTTTCCACTTGGGATGAGATTGGGTGTGTTGTACAATTTCTAATTGGGTGTGTTGTACAATTTCGTCTACCTTTGCATACAGCAATTGGTGGATCCAAATTACCACACTAGCATGGGAATATTACCTAGATGAGAGGTATTACCTGAATCAGAGGTATACAAGGTCTGTCAGCTATGGTGGTCTCCACTTCCTTTTGTTTCCATTGAGTATAGACTTTTAATTCTTTTGCCAGAATCATGCGAATGTCCCCCCACTATCATCCTAAGTTCCAAAATCAGAAATAATAAGGATAGGAAGTGGAACAAAGGGCATCTCTTCCACACTTTTCTNCTCCTGAAGAGAGGTGGAAAGAAGGGAGTGGGTTCAAAAATGGATACATTAAGACTAATTTCTTCCCAGACACTAGATCACAACATTTGTAACACTTTTGGGAAAATGGAAAACCATAAAAATATATTTTACATATTGTGGATCCAATTTAGTATGGTATAGACACAGAACATGAGCAAAGCAAACACAACCAAAGACTTTTGGGGGAACATTGAACAATAGAGAATAAGGACAGAGAAGTTTATATGGAGACTTATAGTTTAAAACACCAGATGGCGTCTGATTAATAAGATAAGATGCAGTGAGCACAGCTTCGAACCAGAATTTCTCGGTTACATTCATACTCAAGAGGAGAGCACGACTCACTTCTAAAATATGCCTATTAGCCAAGGAGCAATGAAGTGGGAGATAATAGAAAGAGGGATCAAGGGAAGGAAGGAGAGGTCGGAGAGATACTTTTCAAAGAAGGAAAGATACTTTTGAGAGAAGGAATAGCAATGTTATATAAGATCAAAACCATAGTACCGGAAGCGCCCAACTAGGGCGACGCTCCTGCCCCGAAATCCAGCATGGCCGAGATCTCGTTCAAAACCTGTTCCCAACTTTTTGGGAGCTCGCTCCTATTTTTAGGATTCTTTGATCCCATTCATAACGGAGCTCGCTCCCGCTACCACACGGATCTCGCTCCTGCTACCGCACGGATCTCGCTCCCGCTACCGCACGAATCTCGCTCCCACTATCCCACGGAACGCATTCCTGAACAAATTAGATCCTCACTCTCAGAATTTTAGGATCGCAATCCCTACATTCCCAGAACTCCATCCTTAGGGAGGATCCCACTATGAATAAAAACAGACCCACCCACCAATAAAACAATAGGGTTATCAGCTAAAAAACGCGTAGAAATTGGGCCCCCAGGACTCATAGCAGCAATTCTAGCCCTAATTCCAGATGGGTAATTTTTGGGAACTCCATTAAAAATGTTAATTTGCTTTTCCGATCCTTTACAAAGGTTTTTCATTTGAATTCCTATAGAAAACCAGTCACCCCAATTCTTGAATTCGTCAAGGCCAACTTTTATAACATACATGAAATCTCCTTGTATATTCAGGCTTTCATGGTTTCCCTGTAAACTTAACAGCTTCCCATTTGATTTCTCTGCGTCTTGCTTGAGTTTTTATAAAAAATAAAGGAGCTTAAACTCTTCTCCTCCTCGGCCAAGGATATCACCAAAGCTTCACAACCATGGAGTTGCCTGCAATCCAATGAATAGTTTGTCATCAAAGATTTGAACTTGTTTGGCCTTTTGGAGATCGCCATGGAGGTCCCCAACCGCTAGCAAGCGAGGTTGAGATGGGTATGTGGATTTTTGTTGCTGTTGTGCTTTCTGAGGAGAGAGAGAAAGAGTCCACTCACTATGAAGTCAGACGAAAGTGTTCATGAAGCTAGAGAGAGAGGGACGCGTCTTGGCAGATGGGTCCATTGGATTAGGGGTGCAAAGGTTGAAGAGGTAGTGAATGTCTGGTCAAGAGAGAGAGATAGAGAGAGAGAGAGGACAGGTGGAGATTGGCTCCAAGTTAAGCAAAATGCGATCCAACCTTGAATGGAGATTGACCATTCCAAATAGGAACGCATTTGTCTTAGATGGAAGCACGACTAAACTTTAAATGGGATCCCGCTCCTGTTGTCTATGGGAGCGCGATCCTAATGAACATGGGAACACGATCCCATTTTACATGGAACGCATTCCCGTTAAATAAGGACCTCGATCTCAATGTATCGAGAACATGCTCCCTATTCATACGGGATCTCGATCCACAACTTTTACCCTCACCGGAAATCACTCCCCGAGCTCCGGAGCTTTAGGCAACCTCGATGCGCCGCTTCCGCTCCAGGAACCAGAGCCGTTCCTGCTCCCGCTTCGAATAACTATCGTTGAGACTAACCTCCATGCACATCTCAAATATATTACATTAATTGTAATCCTGCTTATGTACAAAAATGTCCTTTAAGTGAAAGAAAGGACACACAGGTCCTTAGGAACTTAAATACAATTAAAAATGAACTAAGAGCTTTCAATTCACTTTCACAACAATGAGAAACAGGAGGTGCACAAGAGCGAGCTACTAGATGGGCTCATGATGGCGAGCATGAGGGTTAGACTAACCTCGACTTTGGATCGGCAACTATCAAACCAAACTTACACAAGTGTTTGAGAATTGGTACCAAGAAAACTACAATGACTATGACCCTCCATGAAATTCTTATTCGCTATCGGGCAATGTTTAGGATTGGAGTACCTCTTTATCCCTTGTGTCATTATATATCGAGTTTCTATGACTCTCTTTGACTGTGAGACTGTGAATCTACAACTGTCTGTTGTATTTCTAGTTGGTGGATGTGGAACTTCCCATCATTTATCTTTACTCTATAATGTGAACTGGGGAGTTTGAAATTGATGGGGCGTTTGTATTAGCAAGAGAAAGTTAGAAATTGTGGAATGATCGGATGTTACATTAGAATATCATATAATGTCATCAAGTATAGTGTTAACATATTGAAGCAACTCTATGTAGCAACTCTATGTCCATATGATAATTAACTTTTCATAAATTCCCATTTTATAAATGAGTTTTCTTAATTTTTTATAATTTTTCCGATTTTATTTTTCCTTACTTTTATTTTCCTGAATTTTCACAACTTGTTTGGTATTCTTTCATCCTTTTTGGGGGAACTGGCCAAGACTCGAGGAGGCCACTCAAGACTCACCGAGTTAACCCATTTGGGGCAATCACTAAGTCCCGGGACAAGTCCTGGTCTTATAACACAGTTTACGAGTAATAAAGACATTCCATACGTGAAAGTAATAAATAATACAACATTACCTCACATGTAATCAAACATGGGGGAAATCCTAGATCCAACGCTTCTCCATAGGCATCAGCATCAAGCTAAGGGATCTAAAATTCCATTTAACAACATGAAAGCACTCCACAATTTTGGAAAGGTTAACTTCATTCCAAACTTCTCGAGGAGGGGTGGTTTGGTTCACATGGAAGGCTCAAGAAGGGCAAGGGGAATGCCCAAAAGAACATGGATGGAAGTAGTGCGAAGAAATATGGTATCTAATAGTCAGACTGACGGTATGGCCCTTGATAGAGCAGATGGCAGAACATGATTTTTAACCGACCCCAAATAATTGGGAAATGCATTCCAAACTTCTCGCCAAGCAAAACATTATCTACTATTTCAACTCATTTACATTTCTAAGCATTTTGGGACCCAAAGAAATAACCCATGATTTACAAAGATTCGCAACTCTGCTGATTGAGAACCTATAGATTTTCCTTTACGAAAATCAAATTTCCTTGATATTGCATGTTAATTAGAAATGCAGATAAAATATCCCATGCTTATCTAATTACCGTAGACCAAACTCCTTTAAGTTCCCATCAGAGCCAACACTCAAAAACTCAGTCGAGTCCACTCGGGCTAGGCTGAGCTACTCTACCTGGGCTAGTCGTCAAGGGTTCTCACATACCTAGCCATTACATGGGAAAGCGTACAATGCTAGGGTGAGTACCATACATACTTGCCCAGGTGTTGTAGAACTTGGGCAAATATGGAAAAAGGGAGGGGCGGCACAACCTCTCTCTCTCCCCCAAAGGGTCCGGAAGTCTGCGCTTGTTTTCTTCTCTCTATTATTTCTCTTCTCTCTATTATTTCATTTCTCTCTCTCTAAAATGAGGCAGATTTCAATTGCTTGTTTCCATTTCTCACCCCGTCTCTCTAGCAGGGGCAAAAAAATGTGCCCCACCTCTCTCTCTCTAGATGCTTCTTTTTATTTTTTTGAATTTTTGGGATTTGTTTCATTCTTATTGAGGCCGCACATCACTCAAGTGACTCCAATTGAGCTAGCCTAAGTTAATTGGTTCGGGCAACAGCCAATTCCCGAGCCTGAACAGAGTATTTAAACCTTGATTAAAATAATTGATTCTAACTAGTGTGCCGGGACTTGCCTCCCCAAGGTTACTCACCGCTTGGCCGAGGTAAGTTACTTGGGCAGGGGCAACTTCAAGTGACTCGCCTGAGTCTAGCCCGAGTTCAAAACTAAATAAAAACGAAAACAAAAAAGAACCACACATTATATGACATACTTATTTTTCATAACAAACTTCAAATGGCTTATTGCTTAGATGCATTGTTCCAAAAGGCAGACCGCCCAACGCCTAAGCAATCCAGAGGACCTGGGCACCTTGCCCAAGCCAAGGCGGCCTGGCCCTTGGCGGGCACCTAGGCGCTGGGGCACCCACCTAGGCAGGCGCCCAGCACCCAACACTGGGTAGCTGCCCAGGTCCTGCGCCCCACCAAAATGCCCCTCTTGATGGGCATTTTTAGGTTCTTTTAAAAAAATAAGAGGGGAAAAGGTGGGCTTTAGGTTCATTACGAACCTAAACCCCATTAGAGTCCATTTTAGAGAGAGAAAAACCTCAAAAAACTAGAATTTTGTGATTTTCATATGATCAAAGGGTTTCTCAAAGTTACGCTCATTGAGATTTGATTTAATTTTGGAGGTTTTATAGGTTTATTAGAGGGTTTTTTAGAAGATTTTAACATTAGATCTACTGGGTCGCCTAGGTTCTGAGCACCCGCCTAGGCGCTGCGCAGCCTGGACCCCCCAGCAACCTAGGCGCCGCCCAGCATTTTTTCAAACACTAATTAGATGGTATGGCCCCAGCCTCCTAGGCGCCGCCCATTGTTTTTTGAAACACTGGTTGGATGGTATGGCCCAATACATGAGTTTTAGGGATGGAAACACCGCATGTGCATTTTTTGTTGAACTTCTTTTAAACAAAAAAAAAAAGGCTAAATGTCCTCTTAAATAAAGGATTTAGAAGGCTAGGCACTAAAAACCAAGAAGGGCATTAAAAAAAAAGGGAGGGAAAAAAAAGAGGCTATATGTCCTCCTAAATAAAGGATCTAGGAGGCTAGGCATTAGAAACCAGGCTGGGCATTAAAAACATTGCGGCATTCGCAAATGCTAGCCGATAAGATATTTCAATGTTTTCGGATTAAAATTGACATATTATTATTCACATACCATACATCCACGGACATACAGCGTACTCAAGAGAAACTTGCCTTGCCCATAGGGCGAGGCCAAGTAACTCGCCCTAGTCCCGTCACGCTGATTCTAATGATAGCACCCTAAAAATCCTAAAATTTACAAATCTGTGTAGAGGCTTGTTTATCATAATCCCCTAATAAACCCTAGAAATTGAAGTTTTGAACTGGTTGCTGGATGCATGGTCCTCTAACTTGCACCATAAACCCTAATATTGTATTCCACTTCATACTCTAAACCACCGTTAGAAATACTCGTTGAAATACATATTTTACTAATCATCATTGAACCTCTGAAACTTCCAACAAAAGGTACCCTGGACACTATCTCACCTTATATTCCCTATAAGACAGTGCTGAATTCCATTAACCTTCGTTTGAAGCCCAATTTCCATAATCCTCATTAGATAACACAAAACAATATTGCTTGAAAAGAACAATCAAAACGCGAAAGCATACAATTTCAATGCTGAAGATAACAATTACAAGAAAACTAAGCCGACGACATAAAGATTACAAATTACAACACACGACATACACACTTTACATCATTAAATATAACAATTCACAGTCAGAGAAAACAAGTATATACAACAATAAAATAAGACTATCCATATCAGCGATAGTAGCAACAGTGGCAATGTATATAGCCAGCCAGTGAATGTTAAGAGAGAGAGCATGAAGAAAAGAGGAAGGCCCCTGACCTTGACAGAGGTTGCAGAAGCTCAGGGTCGAAGAAATCATTCCATCCACAATCCACGAGAAAATTGAAGCCATCGAGAGAGAGAAGATATGAGAGAGGATTCTCAGAGTGGACGCCACTTAAAGGTGTCAACTGCACTGAAGTTCCCATGACGAAAAACTACAGCAATGGGAAACTGGAGAGAGAAAGAGAGAGAGCAGATATGAGATTCAAAATTTGGCAGAGGCGGAGAACCGGAGAGAGAGGCGTTGGAATGGATTCGTACGGGAGATGGAGGGAAAATAGAGAATAAAAATGAGAGAGCGAGCGAGATAGAGTGAGGTTTAACATACAGGAGATGGAGGAAAAACAGATAATAAAAATGAGAGAGTGAGCGAGATAGAGTGAGATTTAACACAGTGTAGATGAATATCAGATTTAGGGTTGGGATTGTATACAAATACGATTAGCCAAGGTTATAAGGCGGTCACATTTACTCCTAGCCTTTCTAAAATTAGATACGGATCTTAGATGGGTTGAAATAAATTTGACAAAAAAAAAAACTTAACCTTAGTCTAGCCAACTATAATTGTTTTTGCGGCTACTCCGATGTACATCTCTTTATATCAAAAGTAAATAATTTTACATATATATATATATTTAAAAATTTAAGCAGATCTCAATTGTTTTTGCGTATATTTAGTTTAATTTGTGTTGTCTTGGGGCATTTAAGTAGGAAAAACGTATGCTCAAGGCCGCACATGTCATTGTATCGGTTCGATACATTCTAACAATCCGATTGCACTTAAAAACATGCATGGTTTTTATAAGGTGTTAACCTTGTAATGTTGGATTATTTGCACCTTAAATATCTTATAGAAGAGAATATTCTAATGTTGGAAAATTCTTTAATTGAATCATTTTGACCTCAATATATATATATATAGATATGAAGAAAAAAATTAGGTTTTAAAATAGTGCACTTTATAATAAATTATCTCGATCATCTATTTTTAAGATTTTTTCAAACGTTGATAGATTTATTCAATTTATAACTTTTTCAATTTTAAATTTTATAAATTAGGATAAAATTATATTTTCAAACCATCTAAGGTTTCGGACACTAGATTTATATTTCCAAACAAAATTTAGAGGTGTGCCCTACTTCTACAATATGAAGAGGCACCTTGTACAATCCTCACCCCACAATATAAGCTAGCAATCTTACTTATAGAAGTAAGTTTGAGATGATCTACACTAAACCATTTCAGTTGTATAGTACAAATAGTTCAAATAAGATGTTTGACGTAGATTATTGCAAACCTTACTTCTACAAGTAAATTTAAGAATGCAGTATCATATAATTTTTTAAAAAAACATTTTATATTGCGTGTGTTCTCAACACTTGAACTGTGCAAACGATTTCAAAAGTCCTTCGCACGAAATGTCCAATAAACATTGGAAGGTTCCATCACTCAAGAGTAAGGTTTAAAAAATCGGGGGTGACTCGAATCGGTCACATCCATACCTGTGTCAGATCGGAGAATCGGCAAAATTAGTAATTTTTGTCCCAAATGTTTTTAAAAAAATCACTATAAATCTCTAAAAATAATGTTTTATTAGTTTTATAAAATAAATTAAGAAAGATGCTGTAAGCACTTTCATTATTTTATAAAAATAGATGAATACTAGGATGTTGTTTTTCTTACTGGATGTTTGTATAATTATTAATTGTAATATACAATTATAATATACATCAAAATAATTTTAAAATATTAGAAAAATTTTTATATATTATAAGATTAAATATTTAAAAAATCATATAAAAAAAATTAGTATCACATCGGTCGGATCGACAGTTTTATCACTATAATTTCTTTAAAAAGTAGTTTCTTATTTATTATTTTTACATTACAGTTTTTCATTATTGTATAAAAAATATGAAAATACTAAGAACTTGTTTCATTATTTTATATAACAACTAAGTACAATTTAAAATTATACTTCATTCTTATTGTTGCATAAAATAAGTTATTATGTTAAAAAATCAACAATAAGTTATTTTTTAAATATTTGTAAAAGTTAAAAGTATATCATTTAAAAATTAAAATCTATACTAAATTTGAAAATAACATAATCTGTATAACGATAACAATTATTGAATAACATAGCAATTTAATATATTAAATTATGTAATATTTCAATGTATTTATAATGATAAAAAAATCAATATAAAAATAAAAATTTAAATGTAATTATAGTAAATAATTTAACAAATTTTACATAATTATATTAATTCAATATAATAATATTAATATAATTTTAATGTGATTTATTCAAAGTAGCAGGCCAAACTATATGACATTTGAAATAATTTGGATTGATTTTAAATTTATAATATTATTTATTAGTAGTATTATGAATATTTATAGAGTAAGGATCATATAAGACCCTCCCACACCAGCACCCACACCGCAAAGGATCACTGTTAAATTTGGTACAGATATCTAGAAAAGTTATCGCATGGGTGTGGGACTTGACTTTTCTAGATATCTGTGTCAAATTTAATGGTGATCCTTTGGGGTCCTACACACATGGGTGTCGGAATGTCTTATAGGATCATTACTCATTTTTATAATTAGAGTAATGATCCTATGAGACCCTCCCACACCCATGTGTGTAGGACCTCAAATAATCACCATTAAATGTGGTACAGATATTTAGAAAAGTTATCACATGAATGTGGGACTTAACTTTTCTAGAGATTTATGCCGATTTTTAGAGTGATCATTTGAGATCCTACACACATTAGTGTGGGAAGGTCTCGCAAGGTTATTTCCCTTATAATTATATACCTATAAGTATGGGTGTGTACGTGGTGCAAACAACATGTTAGTTTGAAAATACCAAACGCCTGGTACTTAGCGCGAGCAACAAATAACGATTTCTGCTGGGGAAGGAGCAAGTGCCCCATCGGGGAAGTTAGGAAGAGCGAGGCTTTTATAAAAACCCATGGACTTGCATCAAAGGCTAACATTAGCCATGCGTCTATGTTCGAGTCACTGGTTTTTAAAACACTTCTTAAGACCCACATTAAAATTGGGTTTTTTAGTTTTAAAACATGCGATATTGATCAAGTTGTCATCTATAACACAAGCAATTTAGGTTTTGTCAGCCATCCACCATCTGTTAATGGTGGCAACAGGCTATACATGGACTAGCCTGAGCTTGGATCAACCGCACTAAACCTTGGACCAACACGGTTAGTCCATGCTCGGATGCTTAGACTGGATCAAAGGAACACTAGCCCAAGCCTCTCTCTACTCTTGAGCACGGCGGTCCAACCTGGCCCTATTATTGGGGCCAGTTCGAGCTACTCCGCATCAATTTGTATTAATTTTCTTGTTTTCTAAAATATTGTATGATGCCTGATTTGAATTTGGGTGGCTTTCAATCAAATATCAATAGCCATAATTGAAGTTTTCTCATTTTAAAATTTTTAACCTGCTACATGGCTTGAAGCTGATTGTTTAGGATGCAACCATGATGTAAACACAGGTACAAGCAAGATAGTTCAAGGTGTTTGATCTGCATCAAAAGCTTCACAATTTGAAAGCTATTGTTTCCAATAAGTTGAGGACGGCAAATATTTTTTATTGTACCTAAATTCACTCCTATTGCATCATACAACCAATGTGGCCAGCCATGAAAACCCAGATTTGAAGCCATAAAGCTTAGAGAGAGAGAGGGAGAGGGAGAGGGAGAGGAGGAGAGAGAGAGGGGGAGAGAGCATGGTTTCGTTTGGAGAAAGAGAGAGCCATGGAGTTGAGGAAATGGGGGATAGAGAAAGGAAGCCAAAGCAGGCAAAGGAAAGAGTTGAAACTTGTCGGAAAAATTAATATGGAAGGGGCTAGTTCTCCAATTTATTAACTGGGAGGGGGTTTAAAAAAGTGTTTTGTGAGTAAGCCGACTCAAATGGATAGGAAAATATTATAATAAAAATATTTTAAATTTTATTTTATTTTTTATATCCATGATCATCATCATGGATCACTAAAATTTGGATCCAAGATCGATACAAATAAAGGGTGTTCCAGAGCTGCAAGAAAATAGTATGAGGAAACTCATGAAGACCGGGCCTACGGTTTATGGAGTTTACGTTGAGCCAGTACCTAAGTATATTATATGTTTTAGGGATGGGAAATTGTGCCCCTTTGGAAAAAAAAAAAAATGGATTTGTACCCCCAGAAAATGTCAAAACTAGCGTCACACTGATAATAAATTTGGATCATCCATTTGGTGCACATTGAGATCTACATTTTTAAGAACTCAAAATTATTGATGTAATAAGGCCATCTCTCAAAATTTTTGGTGAAGAAATTTTCCTTTAAAGGCCTTGATTCAACGACCTCATGAAATGGATGACTTACATTCATTGCTTTAACAAAAGCATATTTTCTAATGTATTTTTTTATTAGAGAAATTTTTTTATATACTTTATTTTAAAAAATCATTTATCAATAGGCTCAGGATTTTAAAATCTTGAAAAAAGTACATAAATATCTATTGTACTTTACATTATTACGGATATACCAAATAGTTTTCGTTATTACATGTATGTCTGTTTTTACCTTTTATAATGTAATTTTTTTAAAAATACGACTTTACCATTTTTTGGATTTTGAATAACCAAATTGGAGGGTTTTTGGATGTTTAACCTCCGAAAATAGGCCGAAAGTTTAACGTTCACATTCTCATTTTCGAGTGTTGAACATCTGAATTGAAGGGTTATGTTGATACATTGTATTCCTTATGAAGATGGTTTTGGATGTTAGACGTCTGAAAATATCACATTTTCGGATGTTGAACATTTGAAAATATGGCATTTTCGGATGTCCAACATCCGAAAATGTCATATTTTTAGATGTTCATCATCCGAAAGTACGACTTTGAATTTCCAGAAATACTTTGGAATTTCGCAGTCATTTTTGGATATTCAACACCAAAAAATAGGAATGTGAAGGTTAAAGTTTCGGCCTATTTCTCGGATATTGAACAACCAAAAAACTCTCCAATTCGGTTATTCAATATCCAAAAAAAGGTAAAGTCGTATTTTTTAAAAAATTACGTTATAAAAAGTAAAAACGAACATACATGTAATAACATAAACTATTTGGTTAATCCGTAATAACACAAAATATAACGGATATATATATAATTTTTCTTATAATATTTATGGAGGTATAGAGTTTCAATCTTTTGTATCTTTCATTTTCAACCCCCTAAACCCAAATAACCACCTTAGATCGCACATTTTTTATCCAAACAAAATATAAAATGACTCTCTCTCTCTCTCAAAAGACAAAACGCCAACTATCACAACCCCAACAGGGATCATAGTGGGGATGGTGGTCTATTTTTTGACTGGCTATGATGACAGCAATCTAAAAGCTCTGATCACGAAGGGGCTCTTGGGATCATTCACTTCAGGAATTTTGGTGTACATGGCTTTGGTTGATTTAATAGCAATGGATTTTTTTCACAAGAAGGCCTCATATACTGCCCTGGTCTTAAGATCTGCATCAATGTCATTGCTTGCAATTTGGGCTTGAAAGTCAATAAACCCCCTCTCATAACACCATGTCAAATTGGTTCACAAATCACACTAAAAAACCTTGTAGAATTTTGAGTTTTACTGTGGCCCAATTGGATAGCAATAATGTTCGACTGTTGATATTTGAGAGAGTAGTGTACAGAATATAAGTTTTAATTCGGGTATTTTCCCCTTTCACAAACCTATTATTTGTCTTTGTATTTTCTCTCACTTCCTCTCTCTATCTCTCTCTACTCGTGTTTTTGAAAACCCTCTCTCTCATTGTGGGTTCCAAAAATATGTACAATCTACATACAATTATTCACCCATCCGAATAATATCCAATCAATCACACATAAATCGAACAAATATATAAAGAAAAATAAATCAGGGAGAGAGAGACTGGAAAAATAAAAAAAGAAGGTTTGAAAAAAGTCATGAGAGAGATTTAAGATAAAGTCACTGAAGAGGGAAAAATGATGGTGTTTTAAAAAAAAACATTAATTATATTTATTTGAAACAAAAAAAAGGTCAAAAATAAAATAAAATTACCTTAAAGGTTAAAAGATATCATACTTTAGAATTTTTATGATCCTCTATTGATATATAAAACTTTAAAAAAAAAGGGTACGGAGAGAGAAAAACGAGGAAATCGAGGAAAGCTCAGCTTGATGGTCGATTCCGCGATCTGTGTCATTTACTCATTCTCGGACTCTCACTCCTCAGAGAAACAATATTTTATAGGCGCCGATGTTTATTCCTTGGGAAATACATTGTGTACTCCTTGGGAAGTACATTGTATACTTACTCCCTCGATCAATTGACCCAATCAAGAAATTATTTTAAAATTTTATATATAAAGTTGAGGTCTTAAACAATTAAATTAAGATGAACCTCTAAAAGTCACTGGAAGAAGTTGTTTTGATTTTGAGAGATCTTTGAACTAATCATCTCTACCTTGAGATGTATAGATGTGTAGAACAATGCATTTGAAGTACGAAAAACAATGTATTATATGGGTCTTCAAATTTTAATATCTTAAGTGTTTATAAATCCGTTCGATCTTCCCTATATCTGAAGCTTTGAATTGTATAATTCAAACCGTTGCAAAGGTTTTTATTATTAAAAAATCATATTTCAACTAGAGTTATGCCATATTTTGATTGTTTAGAGCCTCAACCCTATACAAACCACACCTATTATTTTAATATAACTTTTGGATCTACTTTCCAATAACCCAAATTTTGTCACGAAAAAAAGGAGAAAGTTTTCTATGTTTTCCCCACAATATAGAAGTTCTATCCTCCCCTACTATCCAGCCGTCCAATCTTTTTATCAGGAGAGACTCACCGTTTGATATTAGATCCGTCGTCTCAAGTATTTTTTTTTTAGTTTTTTTAATACAAATTTTCTGAATATGAAATTTGGTACGTGCCATCTTCTCATTGAGGCGCACCTATAAAAAATATTAACAATAAATTATTGATAAAAATTAATGACCAAAATACCCCTTGAAATTGTTAAGGGTATTTTAATCATTTTTTATATTGAAAAATGGTTTTTTTTTTTATATTTTTCATTAGTGCTACTTTAATAGAGGAATGAAGTTCCAAAATTTGGTGCCAAAATAATTTATAGAAAAAAAATTAAAAATAAAATAATGTAGAGATGTGAAATTGTTATTAGGGCAATCTTACCCTCAATTAAACATGAACGGTTGGATAAGGGGGACGATAGAACTTCTATGTTGTAGGGGAACATAGAAAGCTTTCCCTTAAAAAATTAGAACACTTAGATATAATAGTCTAAAATTAAACAAGTCCTTATTAAATGGTAGGATACATACCGGATGACAACGATTTCTTAAGAAGGACTTTGAACATTACACCTTTTGTTTTTTTTTTTGAATGATTTTGGATCTTATGCTACTTGAAAATCATTTTTTGAACCACTAATATATGGATCTAAAGTATTACCATTGTTTCATATCTTAAATTCCTTTATGATATCATCATCGTAATTTTTTTCCAACTAATTGGGATCTTAAATTCCTTTCCAATATGAATTTGTGAAAAGGGATTGCATTTAAATATGACTTAATTTAAGTTTATTATTAATTTTTTATCAAAAATACCTGTAAAAGATGAATTTTTTAGCATTTTACCCATTTGTAACGTCCAACTTATGATTATGTAGACTTTGATTGGTATTCTGAAATTAAATCAAATGATAGGAGTAACATATTAAATAGTTCATCTTTCATAGGTACTTAGATAAATTTTCTTTTGTTTTTCCTTCATTCTCATGAGGCCCTCAAATTTAAAAAACTTGGTTTTTTTTCTCTCTCTCTATATTAAAACGTTTGTTTTTTTTAAATTATTGTAAAAAGGTTTTACCAGAGGGAGTAAATTGTCAATATGCTATCTCGGGAGCGTACAAGAGATCCGTTCTTTATGGTTTCCCATTTTTCATGACCGTAAAACGTCAGCTCTATAAAATAAAAAATTGCTCGCTTGACTTTCTTCACTTGGATCTCAATTGCTATCGTTCGTTTTATTTATTATTTATTTTCTTTGGCCGTATGGATCACGAATCAGGTATGATTTCGTTATTTGAGCATCTATTTTTTCTCAAATTAAAACAAAATTTACAGAAATTTCATTGAATTTATTGTTTTGATTGAACTCTTTTGTTCCATTATAATCGAATTTCTCACAGTGTTTGATGCTTTGTAGATTTTTCGTGTTCATTGATGAATTTGTTTCGATTTGTGTAATTTCATTTGGTTTTAAATGTGGATTTTTGATGCTTGAATGGTTGTTGAATTGTGCAGTGGTAGAGTTTCTAGGGAACGTTCCACTGTTGCAGAGACTCCCTAGTTCTTCCCTGAAGAGAATTGCAGGCGTAGTCGAAGTTAGGCATTACAGTGAGCTATTTCTTCACTACCTACTGTTTGATTTTTGAGTTAATTTTAGGGTATCTAGGCTACTTTCTCTCTCCATTTTTTTTTTCTTTATGTATATAAGTTACACTCTCTACGTTCCTCTGTCTATGCCTGTATCTTTCTGGTTGAGAATTTTCCCCCTCTCGCTCCTTAACTCTCTGTATTTTATAAGCTTCTCTTTGTCGTGTTGAATTTCATTGTTCTCTTTCAGGGACTCTCTCTCTCTCTCTCTCTCTCTCTTTGGTGCTTGCACATGCCTTGTACCCTTTTTTGGCTCTCTGAAATGGGCTATCTCAATTTTTGTATTTCTCAGTAAGGGTGCTTAGGTAATTGAATCTCGATTGAGCTCCTTCCTCCTTTCAGCGTTTTGTACAAGTTTTTGAATGGTTGGAGGGGATTTTAGTTAATTTTTTGTATTGTTTTCACTTAATTTTTTGTATTATTTTACGTTCAAAGTTACTTTTTTTTCTTGCAAATTAGCCTCTTCAGGTCCCACTTCAGAAGAAAACTGTAAAATTATTTCAGTTAAGGATTATAATGGATGACTCCATAAGCTTTGTTTAGTATCTCACTATCTCTGCCACTTTCTAAGGTTTTTTTTGTATTAGGATTCCTCAGTCTGAGGTTTGCATTTCTCAAGAAAACTGCAGATGAAATCAGTGTAGGCATTACAGTGTGGTCTATTTTCTGTTGATATCTGTTGATGGGTCTCTCTCTTTGGCTTTGTATAAATTCTTTATTTTGGAAATGTATGAATTCTAGCCTTTGGTCAAGACATCATGATCCTTGTTTGAAAACAAGGACTAAGGCTTGGACTCACCCAGGTCCCAAGCCAGAGTCAGCCACTGACTTGGCTGAGTTGGTGGTTGGATTTGGCCGAGTCTCTGGGTAAAATACACATGGGGACAGGGACTTAGTGAGACTTGCCGAGTTTTGGTATTTTCGTATGTGGATTTGATGCCTTTCCTAGTCCAAGTGACTCGAGCAAGTCCAAGCATGAGTGACCAATTTTTGAAACATATTATTATAATTTTTGTTTTTGAATCTTGTATTTTAGTTACCTTTGGATCATCTGTGATGATCTCCTGAAGTCTGCATATATTTTAAATGTGGTGATACACTTGTTGTCATATGAATAGATCATACCAAAACGTTTTACTTGTTCGCACTGTTTCTGTTGGGGGAGTTGTCTTGCATATTGCAGAAGCTGCATCATTTGTTTCATTGTTTTTCTTTGTTGAGAAATTGATTTATTTAGGTTCCACCTACCAAATTTAATGCAGATTACTGAATTTGAGACTTATTTCTTAACTGATTTTGTTGCCCTTTGTATTTGAAGAGATAGATTATGTTTGGTATGGATTTATATTTGTTTCTGCTGTATCTTTCCTAGATGAAGGAGAGTATGTCATTAGAGAGGGTCAAATTGCAGACGGTGTGTACTTTATTTGGGATGGAAAGGTACGTATGTGTTATTTCTTGAAGGCTTAAATATATATTAATAAAAGAAAAAGGGTAAGTTTTGTTTGTTTATTTTAACTAATCAAGGAAGCAAGAACAAACACTGCAGCCAAGCTACTGGGTTACCCCTTGGGAACCCCTCTACTTAAGCTATTCAAATTATCTACTCGTCCCAATTCATTTGCTCCACATGGCTAGAATATGTTGGCTCCACGTGGCTAGTGACAAATTTTAATTTCTTTTGTATGCTTACGAGTTACAACACGCCCAGACCTCTCGATATAGTATGAACAATTGTGTAATTGTGAAACAATGCAATTTGGATCAAGTTATTTATGAGATTGTCATACAATCTTAGATCGTATTTTTCATCCTTTCATGAGTTTAACTTAATTGGGTGTACATTTTTTCAAGAATCTTATGTGCTTTGAGTAATTTGTGAAAGTACTATCTTTGTGAAACTTGCTAGGAATGATTAGGAGACCTTTTTTTTCCCCAACCGTTTACAACATGTACCTTTCAGGCAGAGGTTTGTGGCTCCACCGACTCAGAGGAGAGAAATCATTCCATGCTCTTCTTGAAACAATATGATTATTTTGGCCATGGTGAGTACTGAATGGCTTCCAATGACTTTTCCATCCTTTGTTTGTGTCTTGATGTGGTGATGCTTAGCTGTCAATTTGAAGTTGTTTAAATGCTTTGAGATTTTGTATTTCTTGTTGTCTAAATTGATCTCGATGGTCATGATGAGGAGCAGCAGGATTGTTCTCCATGATTCATGGATAGGTTTGGGAAGAATATTTGTTTAAATCTTTCTACAGAGAAAATCTATGGTGATCTGATATAGAGGACCTTTCTGATCCATTAAATTTTGACTGTCATCTGATAAATAGATTCCTTTGTTAAATAAGGTCTTTCAATATATGTTATATTAGTTTTCAACATATCTTATGAAAAATTTACCTTTTTACCATCATAATATATGCATGAAAACCATATTTCTAGGCTTCTGGTTAATTTACTTCAAAAATTTGAATGCTATTTTTTTGTAACATGCTTTCTTGTAAACTAAAGTACTCCTTCAGTTCAGGGTGTCCATCATGAGATATTCATTGACATGCATACTAGAAAAGTGCTAACTGTCATTTACCAAGTGCCTTTTAATACTTATCATATAAGTAATTCAGTTGGGTTAGTTTTTAATGATAAAAATCAAAATATATATATTTTTTCATTATTACTTTGCCAACTAGATGAAATTTGAACTTTGTTACTTTTGAAGGCTCAGGAGTTGCTGTCCATCAAGCTGATGTTATTGCATTGACAAAGGTAATTTAGTTGAAATCTTTTTGTAACATTCACTGCCCAAGTTTGCGCACCTCTTAAGAGTAATTTGGATAATTCATTTGAGAGATCTATTTTAGTATCATGGATTCCACTAGACTAATTCATTTGGGTGACTTTCAGTCAATCTAGTAATCTGTTTCATTGCAGGTTACTTGCTTAGTATTGCATCATGTAAACAGGGCACTTCTACAACCAAAATCAATTTGGAATGCAGAAGATTCATCGGACTCATGCTCGATGGTAGAGCATATTTTGCATTTGGAGCCTTTGGAAGTAAGAATTCCCCTTATTTATGTTGTTCTTATTTTGGTTTTTGTGCATCGTTGAATCTGCTGGACCTTATGCTTGTTTTATTTGACTCATTAGTGAATAAAATGTCACTAACACACACCAAATGATATTGAGGATGGACACCTAGTTAAGTGGCATTCTTTAGGGATCCCTAAAGGGTTAAAAGGATAGATATAGTGGGGCTGGGGCCATCCAATAAGGGGACAATGAGGACAGTGTAAGGAAAAGAAGATTGGGAAGACCTCAGTGATGGGGATGAACGTGGCAGAGGAGAGATGTTGGGAAGAGCAAGGGAGCTAGAAGAATGACTAACCAAGAAGGGTTGGTGCTGGAAATGGGTGGGGATAGTGGCTTGTACGTCCTCTGGCTGGACACTTGGAGAGCTTGTTACGGTATTATGGGGATTGAATTCCCTTCAAATAAACTAAGTTTATGGATGGTGGGTGAACAGGTTCATGAGGGGCCATTCTGGCTGAGATTGATGGATTTAGATGGGTATCTGAGCATGGAAAGGATAATTTGTAATAATGGTGTTATATCACCTATAAAAAAGGGTTGGAATCAGTCAGTAAGAATATAATTGGCCTTCACAGATATAGGATGATTATGAGGGTGCAGTGGTATGTGGAAAAAGGGGGCTAACAATTTGTCCCTGTCAGTTTGTGGGGTTGCATGGATTGCACCATCGGGTTAGAGGTCAGAGAGTACGGGTGGGATGGTTGTCTTACATCATGGGTAATCTGGGGTCGACTGTTGATGGAATTAGGAAGTGAGGTATAGTTAGAAGTAACGAAGTATGGAAATGGTGGGCATTGTTTCTTTCGGGTCATTGTGCGGATCCAGCTGGGGATATTGATGGATTTTTCAAGACAGCATCCTGTGGGGAGTGGGGTGGGGAGGGGAGGGGGAAGGGGGGGGGGGGGGGGGGTGGTTGGGTTGGGGACATGGTCACGTTTCCTGTGTGAGGGGACATGTTTTGCAGGAATTCTGGTAATGGAATGGATTGGGGTCTCTTTTGGTAGAATATTGAGGAGAGAGAGTTCAAATATATGATAATTTTGGATAATGTGGGGTTGATGTGTGTTTTAGCACAGGCACTTTGAGGGACATCAAAGGGATATGCAAAACAGAGATAGAGGGCAGGGATATGATGTAATTTTTGAAGGCTGCGATGGTCATATGTTGGGAACTTGGGGCCCAGGGATGGGGTAGGGGACATGCAAATTGGTGATTTTCTTGCTGCTAGGTGACATTGTAATTTTTGGTGTGATATGCAGATAATTAGGTAAATGTTCTTGCACAACCTGCTTGACAGATATTCTTTCAGCTTCCCAATGTCAAAAAAAAGTTAAAATATCGGTTACATCGGCTGATATTGCCGATTTGGACCCTGCCTGCAGTGATATACAGCCAATAGGTGACAATGTACCATATCGTCATCATCATCATCCGAGCTTTATCCCAACTATTGGGGATCGGCTGTACGAATTTTGTTATGCTATTTTGCTCTATGAAGGGCCATACCTTCAGTCAAACCATAGGTCACCATATCCCTTCTCATTACTTCCATCCATGACCTTTTGGACCTTTGCCTTGCCCTTTTAGATCCTTCCACTTGAATCAAATTGACCCTCCTATTGTGATGTTCTAGGTCTACATTGCATATTGCCAACCCATCTATGTCCACTTCCCTCACTTATTGCCTATTGGAGCCACCCTAAGTTCCCTTGGTTTTATTCATTTTGAATTTAATCCTTTCATGTTTTGCCACTCATCCATCTTAATATCCTCATCTCTGCTACACTCAACTACATATATGCTGTTTCTTGATTGCCCAATGTCTTTTCCCCAAAAAGCATGGCTGGTCTTACAGCCATCCTATAAAACCTACCCTTCAGTTTTATGGCCAATGCACTGTATAAACTTAAATTTGCCCAATACAGTCAAATATGGGAATTTCAAGGTTTATAGCAGCCATTATAAAGCATGAGAACCAACGTATCGCTCTCTTGATATTTGCAACAAGCAGAAACTCCATTATATCCTGTTTTTATTCAAAGGACGCATTGTATTCAATATAAAGACATATTTCTTGAAAATATATTTGTGTAAAATTCTACTGTTATAAACTTAATTACATCTAACATTTCTGATTATTACATTTTAAATGTATTTAGAATTTTGCTTCCCCATTTAGACCTTGATATGTCAGGCAGTATGGTTGTATATTGGTTTTTGCCCCAGCCAATAATTCTTCATAGATAATGTTTGTTGTAGGCTATATGTTCATAGATATTTTGTTTGTGTGTTCCCCCCCCCCCCCCTTCATAAGCTGATTTCTTTTACTTCTATATTAGGCCATTAGCTTTGAGAATGACTGATGTTTTCTGAATTTATGACTAACTTTTCACTCTCTTGCATAGGTGGACATGTTTCGTGGAGTTACTCTGCCCGATGCTCCTAGCTTTGGACAAATTTTTGGAGGACAATTTATTGGACATGTAATATTCATGTTTAAGCTTTTTAGAGTGATCTTACTTATGGCCTCATCTAACTGTGTCTTCCCAGAGTGTATAACGGCATATATGAAGCAATATTTATTCAGGACTTATTAAAGGTTTTCTGTTTCCTAATATTTGCAGTTAAAGCTTGAACAAGAAATAAATTGTTTTCAGTTAACTGCTAACCTTCATAACTGTCCTGAGTTTGTAGTTTAACCTTTTGATTTGAATGTTATTGTTAAGGTGGTGGTAACTGTTAAGGTGATGGACACACTAATTTCAATTCCATTATAGTTGTGGTAATTGCAGTCTTTCAGAAACAAATCTACTGCCATCCATATTGAAACTAAATTGTAGGCCTAGGCCTTTAACTTGTTATTGTGATTTGGCCAAGTTTTGTAGAACTGTAATATGGATTTTTGAAACATTTGCATGACACCAATTTTTAGAACATGCAATCATGCATAAAACATTGGGTAGAAATATGTCCCAAGATGGGAATCAGGACAGCAACATTCCACAATGCAATAATGTAGAGCTTTGGGGCATGTTGGGCTGTAGGAAGAGCAGATCTATATTGGAGGCTGAAGCGAGAATGATGATGTTCTTGGTTAAATAGTTTGTTTGAACTGTCCAATGGTACAACCCAAGGTATTCCTCTAGTTTCATTTCCTGGGTATTGTGGCCCTGCCATGGCCCAAACCTGTCAAAGATTCTTATGACAAATCATTTGTTGGTGAATGGTGATGAACTCAGTTTTAGGAGATTGCCTTGGAGCAATGGGAACTATGTATTAAGAATTGCTAACATTGTGGAATACATTTCATGTTAGCTAAGGGAGGACCCATTGCTTTCTCTCTGATGAATAGGGAGTCCTATGGGTATTTGACTCCATTCCACTTTTGCAAGTCAAATTATAGATCTATTCATCGGAGAAAATTTCCTAATCCCATAGGACACTCTCGGTGCATGTTCCTTGGTTGAATGTGTGTGGTAGATGATATATTATGATTGTGTTTCATTGACCATTTAGATCAAAATCAAGTCATACAACTATGATGTTTAGCAATGTTACTTGGCTCTTGGAGAAGTTAAATTAGTAGCGCTTGAAATATTATAGATATTTGGCCTGGGATGCCCAGATACAGCAGGAGATATGAACATGTTACGTGGAAGACATGCATATGACTCTGCATTTTTTGAGGTCCATGATACGGATACAAATATGGATACAAATATGAGTAACCTGTCTAACACATCTATAAATATATAATATAGCTTCCATAACACAGAAATATATGCATCCAACACATTGGTACATATGTATACCATATTGTCCATATGATAATGCATTATATTATATTTCTCTATAGGTGTGTCATTTTATACTAGCTGGTATTCCAGCAGTATGTGGTATCAATATCAGTACTGACATGGTATGAGGCTAGTAGGTTGAGTATACACAGGTATCTTTTTTTCAGAAGTTTTGGCATACCCCTAGGGAAGACAATGCAGAGAGCCAAATAGGTTGGTGAATAATATTCATGCAGATGTTCTTGAGATAAGCGATTTTCGACCTCCAGAAGTATGTAGATATGATGTTTTTGTTTCCTTTTACTTTTGTTTATATCCTGGCTTGGCCAAGTTTTGGTATTTGCTTATATGGTGATGGGTTGAAGTTTCTTTCACCTAATAAATTTATCACTTATTAAAGAAAAGAGAGCCAGGCTACTTGGCTCTACATTTAACAACACTGGTAAGTGATGTAGGAAATTTTGAAGAATAGAAAATTAAAAAATCCGAGGCATTTCTCTCCTAAGGCATCTTATTTGTATTGGTGTGTTGCCCTTAAGTCTGTATTTTGAAGTTTTGATTTATATTAGGTGAAGAAAATTCATAGGTCTCGTATTAAAGTAACAAAGAAGGAAGTAACACTATAGAATGGCAGGAAATCTTCATCCCGACCTTCTTCTGGCTATGTAACTTGGACACGTTTGTCCAAATGTTCTGGGCTTGTGGCAACACACCAAGGACATGACAAATTTAGGCACTTCTTTTTTTTTTTTTGGTTGAAATTTACTTTGAAAGTACTTAATGTCATTTAAACTCCCACCTCTCACCACCTCTCACCACCTCTCACCACCTCTCACCATTTTTTTAGTGTTGTATTGTAAGTGTGAGGCCAATTTTGGACTTGGTGTTTTTGACATGCTTATTTGTGTTGGAGGCTGACACTTGTAGCCATGTCCTTGTAGCAAAGGTTCCTGGTTGCATCAACATCAGCTAAATTATCTATCTTTGTAGTAGGCTTCCTCAGTACTTATTGAGTCTAACTGCGGATCCTCATCTTACTTCGTATACCAAAGGTTGAATGTGTCCAGAAATTATACCACCATTTTCTTGCATTCAACAACTTGAATCAATGAAGGGAATCTTGGACTCAGCTTGAGACTTGGACAGTGGTTTGGAACTGTGGGGTGATCTTCCTTAGAATGTGCATCTCTAATGGGTTATCTGTTTTGATATGATTTTGTGGAATTTATTTCTTTGGCACATTGTTGTAATAAATTTATTCGTGGTACAATTGGTGATATGTAACATTAAAAACCAAATGAAGTACATATCAATGTCATGCATCCATATTGATCTATATGCCACAGGAAATTTTGGAGTGTTATAGTTATACAGACAAACATATTCTGTTTGTGAAGCTGGATTCTTCTCAGGTTCTCCTAAACCAAAAATTATTGCTTTGCCGTTCCCATTTGAGGCTTAAAATGTGACACATACTACTATAATTTATCTTACACATACTTTTTTGTCAAATTTGTTATGGTGATGTACAACTTCCATGAAATGATACTATCTATTCATATTGATGCACAACTTCCATGAAATGATACTATCTATTCATATATGATGGACAATGCTTTGAAGCTGGTATGCAGCTATGCACACTTCTTTCCATTTTCAAACTTTGTAAATTCCTTTCAAGTGCTGAACAACTTCTAATTAGTACAGAAAATAATTAGAAGTTGTCCATGTTAATTGTGATGGAGTTCTTATGTATGTTGATTCGTCTTTTCATATCTGAAGGAATGGATCAATTTTACTGCAGAAGCTTTATGTTACTAAATTGGTTTTTCTATTATAATCGTGGTACTCATTCATGTTAAAACTATGATATGTAGGCACTTGCAGCAGCATCTAAGACAGTGGATAGCCTAAAGCTTGCACATAGCTTACATTGTTACTTCATTCTTCCTGGGGATCTAAGCTGTATGTTATGTGCTGAAATTTGTGATGGTGATTTAATGAGCTTTAATTAGCTCTATAGCTAATATTTGTTTCTGTGGAAGATTTTTGTTGCTCAATGATTATGAACCAAGGATATCTCAATATCTTGTCGTGCATATTTCTTGTATTTTTGTTGGCAATTTTGAACTTTAGTTTTATAGGAACTTTGAAAATATCATTTAGACAACAATGATTAGAGCTGAGTGTGTTTTTTCAGTGCCAATCGTATATCAGGTTCATCGCATACGTGAGGGAAATAATTTTGCTACTCGGCGTGTGGAGGCAACACAACGTGGACGCATTGTATTCACCTTGTTTGCTTCATTTCAGGTAACAGGATTTGTATTTGATTTTCCAAAGCCTATTTTCCTACGTATTCCATGAATTTGTATACTCAAATACCACCTTTCTCTTATCTTTCAAGGGAGCCTGTGTGTTGTTTTCATCTCTCGTCATGGACTGTGGAATCACAATATAGTTATTCTGTTTTCTGGATGCTTCTCAGCTTAACGGGCATTGTACTTCATTTTTCGCTTAAGTGCCATTCTTTAGTTCATTATGGTTATTGGCAGTTCTCATTTTATTGTACTTCTTGTTCCCATTGTTCTAAGAAATGGATCTGTTTCATTGTCGATTGCAATTTTTCTGCTTTAATTGTGCTTCATGTTCTGCCTTTTAGGAGGGAATGACAGTAGAGTGATTTATCTAAATATCCAATTGGGGAAGTGAGCAATCATTGCTAATTTATTGTGTGCGGAGATCTAATGAGTTCCCAGTCTTCTGTATTACTCTGCTAATAATCTTTTCTTCTGACAGAAAAGGAACACAATGAGCTTCTTGGACTCCCAAATACAGCACCTGTTAGGAGGTGCGAGTTAGTTCAAGTGGAAGGCTCAAAAAGGGCAATGGGTAGGCCCAAAAGGACATAGTTGATAGTAGTGAGAAAAGATCTGGGGATTTATGGCCTCACTGAAGGTATGACCCTTGATAGAGGAAAATAACAGACCACGATTCGTGTAGCCGACCCCTAAATAGTTGGAAAAAGGCTCTGAGGATGATGATGAGCTCCTTGGACTATTGACTGTGGCTGAGTAATACCAGGCCTGATGTTTAAATTTGCTGTCATAATAACTTAGCTTGTGAATACCGATCGTAAAGAAGAGGAAAATATAGCTTGTGGCTTAATAAACTTGACAAGATGTTATTGTTATATCATATATATTCTGGTGATTGGCTTAATTTTTTGGACGGTGGATATGCTGAAGTTAACGTTCTGCATCATTGATATCTTAATGAAAATGAGATTCGTTCTTTGAAGTTGTATTGGTTATACCGCATGATCTGACAATGATTTGGATTTTTTATTGCTGTCCCCATTGAGTCCTTCTGCCAGACTTGCCTAGCAGGACAGTGTAACTCCTAGTTTCTGCTAATCAGCAACAAATGTTTAGCATATATTAGGTTCATCAATGATTTTGTTTCCCTCTAGCATTTGTTCCTTGCTCTCTTTTTTCAGGCACACTGATGCCTAGTCCTCAGGGCAGGCATTTCACAGATTTTATTCTGGTATTGTATGTATGTTTAACTGTATCACTCTTTTAACATTTTTCTATTAGTATGAATTTTGTATATTCTTTACCTTGCTGATTTATTGTTGACATACTAGTGTGGGCCTTGATTGGCATATAAACCTGCGTTTTTCAATTGTGAGTTGACTACAGTACATAGAAGATAGAAATGACTGCAGCGAGGCATTTGCATTACTAGTGTCAAATCTTTCTTTTTTATTTTGAATTTTTATGACTAATGTTGAACTTTGAGTGTCAGAATATAACTTGCTGATTGTTTCCATATTACAGAAGTCAGAGCAGGGTTTGGAGCACCATGATGTGATGCCTGCTGTACCTGCCCCAGAAATGGTAATAGCTCAACTGCTTTTGCATTTTCTTATTTAGATTCAGAGGAGCTTTTATTTGGTCATTTATGTTCTGATGTGGTTGTTTTCTTTCTTCGCCTGCAGCTTCTATCATTGGATGAGCTGCGGGAAAGATATGTCACTGATCCTCGCTTGCCTTCGTAAGAGTTTTGTTTTAGAAGTCTTGTAACTATATTTATAAATTTTATCCTACCAAATACATTATTGATAAACGATGAAAGTTTTGCTATTCTTTGTGATTTTCTTTTATTATTCTGCCTTTTGAACTTGCTGATTTTGTATATTTCATAATAAACTAATATTTGCTTGCATTGTTATTGCCTTGGTACTTCCAAGTTGAAGTTTGTTTGCTAAAACTATGAACCCACTGTGTGCACTTGCTTGCATTCAAGTGCAATCGGCAGCTCTCAGCTTGGATAAGCTATGTCTAAATCATCAATCTCATCTACCACAGTTATTGGCTGGAAACACTATCTCTGTATTGTAACTGCCATTTAGCTTAAACAGATGCTCTCCTTCCACACAGAAATCGGCCCTCATACTGTTTAATCACTCTTCGCTGCTAATGCAGCAAAAGAAAAGAGTCTCCATCCGACTTTTGGCTAAGCAACAGATATGAAAGGGCCATGGATGGCCTACCTATGACCTTCAGTGTGGTACTGTAGCAGAAGGGCGACTCGTTGGTTCCACTTGCTTGCAAGAGTTCATCTGGATGCTGACCTTTGGCAGGCTTGTCAAGGAACGATGTGCAAGTTTTGTTCCATCTTCTTTGAGCTAAAGCTAGCTTTGGGTACCTGGAAAATGAATTTGATATAATGCACCATCTGATGCACAAGAAGACAAATTGGTTTGTGGAGGAATTGTACCAAGGACCATGTAACTCACGAACTCATAAGTGAAGGGAATTGCTGTGAGACTAGAGAGCCGGGAGAAAACTGAATACTTTGAAACCACTATAATGGTTACCTTTTGAGATTTTTAGTCATGATTCATGTTAATTCCCAAGGATGAGTTGCATTTTCACAAGGTCTACCCTTCAAGGATGAATTGGGGAAAGCATTGAGAAACTGCTTCGGACTAGCCCACTGTAGTCAAGGTCTTGCAAGCATTAGAGGTATTTATAGAAGGATATTTGGGCCATTGCTCAGATGGGGGTTGACTACGTTAACATGACTAAGAGGGTTGTTGGGGTTTGTTGAGGTGGTACTCATGTAGTTATGACTTATGTATGCTTTATGGAGTCAGCCAGATCACATGAGGGACATTTTGGTTCTCTATTATGAGGAAATAAATAAATATGTTCCTCCCTGTATTTTTTGTCCCAAAAAAACCCTTGGGTCTATGAAAACACCATGGACTCCTTCAAAGTTTTAAAATCAGCCGCCAAACCCCTGACTTCTTTTACCCTGGCCAAATTCCATTCCTACCCCTTCTCTTTGAATAATGTCCTCTTCATCCATAACCCAAAAAGACTCTAAAGAAACCCCCCTCTTCCACCCGTGAACCTCTCTCTCTCTCTCCTCCCCTCTCCCCACGTAGTACTTATATCTCTCTCTTCACAAACTTACTCGCCTCTCTCTCACTAAGCTGTGATATTCATTATTTCGACCCAAAAGTTTGTTTCCCTCTCTCTCTCTAAACTGCAATACAACCCAAAAGTTTGTTCTTCTCTAAGACGTTCAAGCACCAAATGATTCCAGTATTCTCAACAAGGCTTATTAGTGTTACTTGGATAATCTAGTCCTCGGCTTTAGGCCTTTGAACCAGTCATCGTTGGCATTCATCAACGCCATTGAAGTGGTTCCTGCACTTGAACTCATCTCTGATAGTGCTCAGATGATTATGCTAGTTAGGATCTCTCATTCATCAATGCCATTGAAGTGGTTCCTGCACTTGAACTCATCTCTGATAGTGCTCATATGATTATGCTAGTTGGGGTCTTTCATAGCCTCTCTAAACAAGCTCTAGAGGCTGCATTTGGGTCAAATTGCAGGGTCCTAAAGTCAACTCTGCCATCAAAACTCTAGGAAGAGCTTGGATTCCTGATCAGAGCTTTCTTATTAAAAAAAATCAACTACCAAATCTCTTCTTTTCGGGGATCTCAATTATGGAAGTGGAAGAAGAGCCACCCAAGATACAGCCCTTGATGCTGTGTTTCCGGAGTAGGTGATGAACTTGTCCAAATGTTTTCAATTCTTACTTCAGCATGACCTTGAAGTTTGCAGCGCCCCCTGATTTTGCGTGTTTCAAAAGGATGTATTTTTTGTGATATTGTGAGCTCTATGCTCAACCATTTTGTCTGCAATGCTTGTATTGGAGATTGGTTTAATGCTTGTATTGGAGATTGGTTTTCTTATAGAAATTTGATCTTCCTTCTCTATATCAAGCTTGGATTCTCCTTCGCTCATTTTGTTGCCACTGTAACTGATAAATCTAGCAGTAGCATGACTGTGAGCGATGATCCTTTGAGTTTAGTTGTCATTGATCCAAATGCCATACTGAATGGATTGTAGAATATGAAAATGAACGACACAGTTGGAAATCTTTCTTTATTGTATGCTGCAAACCTGTCTTTGGTCATGCATTCAAAGGGGAAAGTTGGTTGATTTTTGGTTTGGCACTAGGAGCTTCTGCTCTTGTCCTCCAGTTGATGATATTGGGTTTCTCTTCTGTTAGAAAAGGCCATTGATACTAACGAAACACAAATCATAAACAAGGATTCTTTCTCTGTGAATAGGGAAAACTCTCAAAGCACAATGAGCAAGTTCACATTATCTGGTCTGGAGAGAGAGAGAGAGAGAGAGAGAGAGAGAGGGAGGGAGGGAGGTGCGTAGAACGAAACAACCAAAACGAAGGTACTCCTTCTCGTGTAGTAAGTAACGGGTAAACTACTAACGAAACGCACGTAGTACGAACCGTAAGTT